AATGTATAAGTAAATAATGTTTGATGTTATGCACCATACGAGTATCAAGCTACACATATTAGATAGTCATTTCTGGATGAAAGTGAAATTTGATGCGATCCGTAAGTCAGCAATTTTTTTAAAATGTTTGATAGAGTTACGACAATATTAATTAAATATTTCTCTCAATAAGAAATACAAAAAGTATCATACATAATCAAAATAGAATAACGATAAATAAAGTCGTTTCGACAATCTAACTCGAATGTGTAATATTTGTACGACACCACCTGCAGGAAATACAATTTTATTATTTGATCAATTAATTTCCTTGATACGTATTTTCTTTTGGTGTAGCATTTGGTCCTGTATTATTATATTCAGTAATTCACGCAAAATATCGGCAGAAAGGTGTCTAATGGGATTGATTCATCCTTTCTGGCATAACTTTAGAAATTCGATGCTGTAGTAATGTTGAAGCATTTAGAGGATGTTGCATTCCTTCAGCGCTGCTTGTCCCTTTTCAAGTTGGACCAATGAATTTTTGATGCGATTTGAACGGTTCACTATCAGAAATGGCAATTTCCAAAGAAATCTTCGTATTCTTTGAGTAGCTAAATTTGATTTTGCTGCTATTTTAGCAAAATCTTTTATAAATCTTCTATAGTATGATGCTAATCCAAGAAAGTCGCCAAGTATTGTTAGATTTGTTGGTATCGGAAAGTGTTCTACAACTGATACTTTAGTTGGGTCAGGTTGAAGTCCATCTTTGCTAATAATATGTCCAAGAAAGCTCAGGTTTTTTTTTCGATCCGTTTAACCATAGATGTGTTGAAGGAGAGTATTTTGAAGTGCAAATAGTCATTCATTTAAAGTTGATTTTGAGAGAGTCAGTATCTCGTTTTCCCCAATATTTTATAACAAATACGAAATTATTAGATAAAGATCAACATGATGCTGCGTCTTGTTCATGGATTGTGTAACTCTATGTATCAAATGTAAGCACGTAATAAATATAATAAATGTATATCTACATTTAGTTTCTTAATGATTATTTATTTAATTTTTTTTTGATTGAAAAATTAAATGAAAATGATTTGTCTATACAGATCGATTAATAATATAAATCGGAAAAAGTGGTCATATTAAAAAGAGAACTAAATCATCATCTACAATCTGTCTATCATATTAAGAAGATCACCAAGAAGATTACAATAATAATCATAAATTGCCTTCATCATCATCTTTTTTTGCATAATCTATCTATCTGCATCCACCTCCCCAAATTAACAAATATATATATATATACACAAAATAATAAGTACGTATTTTCAATTATAAATTATAACATGATAATAAATCTGTATGCAAACTAATAATGTAAAATAAATTGTCCAAAAATTGTAGCTCTCAACTTTTCCACCTAAAACTAGCCGACATTAACAAACCAAACACCTCACTAATCAGAAAAAAACTAGGACTGATATTACACAAGTATGATGAAAGTTTTGACAATATAATAATAATAATAATAATAATAATAATAATAATAATAATAATCATAATCAAATAGACATATAAATGAGAAAAGACGTGGCAGTAGTAGTAAAATAATAAAAAACATACTGACATGTATATATAATTCAACATCATCGCAGCCGAATAGTATAATATATATAACAGAAAATCATCAAGTCACGCACTCTCATTTTGTGCGATTAAAGTAAAACCAAATGAATTAATTCTAATCTAATTAAGTAGTAGAAAGGAGAGAAGAGAGAAGAAAGAGGATGGATGATATTAATAATAATAATAATAATAATAATAATAATAATAATAATAATAATAATAATAATAATAATAATAGAAGAAATAATAATAATAATAATAATATATTAATTTGGTGGGAGATAAAGAAGTAAAAGAGATTATTATTAAGAAATTATGGAAATGTTGTTTGATGATGAAGATGACAGGGAGTATTTGTTGTTAAAATTAACGGTACAAATGGGGATATATATTTATAATGTAAATTTATAGCAAACAACCAGCAGCAACAGCAGTATTATTTCTTTTTTTTTTAATTTAATTAATCCAACGTTGCGCGCATTTTACTTTGGGGTAGAGGTGTGAAATTGTGAATATCGATTCCTCTAGATAGCAATTCAGCTTCTGCATGTTGAGGTACAAGCCGTGAAGTGAGATCAGGACGGATTGACAATTCTGAGGAAATTATAATAAAAAAATGAGCGTATTTCGAGTTTATTAGTATTAAAAAAAAAGATGATAAATCCATCAAACCTTGAACTGTAAAATCAAACAATTTTGGCAATTCTTTTCCATTCGGAAGCCTTGTTTCCGGATTACGAAGTTCATCGAAAAAGGGATGAACCATCGCTTCGATTGCCGTTAATCGATGAGATGGAGTATATTCAAGAAGACGTGATATAAGATCGATTGCGTCCGTGGGTGTTCGAGCACGAAATACCTGAAATACAATTTTTAATTAATGTTACATTTTGTCATCAGCTTACTTACTATAAATAAAATTGAAGGAAAAAGAAATCAATTACCTTTGAGAAAGGATGCGGTTTAATTTGAGGGAATTTATGTTCCATATAATTTGGATTCATTGTCTTTATCTGTTCTTTTGTTGGAGTACCCAAAACTTTAATTATTTCCACTAGTTGATCGATGCCACTTTCACCAGGGAACAAAGGTAGACCAAGCATCAACTCTGCCATAACACAACCTGTTGACCAAACATCTATAATTCACCAGTATCACGAATAATATTAATAATAAGCAACAAGAGAACGATCGATTTAGTTAATGCTTCGAAAAAAATCTCACCAATATTCGTGGTGTAATTTGTAGCACCAAAGATCAACTCAGGCGCACGGTAATATCTCGAGCAGATATACGAAACATTCGGCTCTCCTGCCTGCAAAATTTTGGCACTTCCAAAATCACATAACTTCAGCACGCAAGTAAACGGATTTAGTAGCAGATTCTGTGGCTTTATATCACGATGGCAGATACCAAGTGAGTGAATATAGGCCAGGGATCGGAATAGTTGGTACATGTAAAGTTTAATTTGAAGCATTGACATCGTTTGTTTGCTTTTTGCGCATAGGCGAGAAGCACGATAAATTGTTTCTGGCACATATTCGAGTACAAGGTTAAGAAAAACCTCATCTTTCTGAATTTTTTTTTGGATATTAATAAAGTTTAGTATTTGTTGATGGGTCGTAATTAAAAAAAATCTGGTAATTCGTGCAACACATACTTTTTCCCCGTTCGAATAGAAAAACGCTTTCAGTTCAACAATGTTGGGATGTGAAACCAATCTCATAATCTGAAGTTCACGATTCTAAATTATTTTCCCCGTAGGATCCGAAAATACAACGAATTAAAAAAAAAAGTTTATCGATGTCAGCGGAATCCCAAGCACGGATGATTAGACGTATTTCTGCGTGGGATAAAAGAAAAATCACCTTAAATCGCTTATCCTGCAACACTTTTTTGATTGCGGAATCCTCATTACTATTAATTAATCTCGCCTGAAACACCACACCAAAAGAGCCGTTTCCGATCAATTTTGTCACGGTGTATGCCAATTCAAAATCATCCCCCGTTTTTCCATCATTTGCATTCACTTTAATTATCTTGTGTGGGTCATGTTCACCTAAAGAATTCATAAAGTGAATATCATTGATTAATCAGGAAAAGATTCATCTTTTTTTGTAGTAGTATCTCATACATCAAGATGTATGTTTGTTAATTGTGAAATGGTGGATGACGAAATTCGAAAAAAAAGCAAATGGATAAGACATGTCAAACTGGCCCTAGGGGTCACAACACGAGTTGGTAAACCAACGCAGGATGCAAGGTCTCTTTTTTCTTTCTCTCTCTTGTGAGATTAATGATTAATTGTTAAACTAAACATATTCTTATATGTAGATATAACAAAACTCGTGCTTTTTGCGAAGAATCCTACCAACCCCTTACAGTGACTTCCCGCGAAGCTTGGTCCTCAGAACACAAAGCCCGTTTTTTCCTGGCAGGTTGACAGTCTAATTTTTTGTTGTTTGAAGTCACAAAAGACATCTTAAAGCTATAGTGTATTCTTTCAACAGTATTAATACACCTTACCAATCTTGACTCCATTGATTGGACCGTGTGATGACATGTTACCATGTGCTGTTGCCTTGGATTCAGCAACGTTATTGACTGCTACTGGGGCACGTCGTTTGCTCGACGACATTGTTGATACAACAGACACGCAGAGAAGAAGTATAAAGTAGTCAAAGAAAAGTCAGTAGTCAGTAGTAAAGTAGTAGTATTCGTCGTCTGTTCGGTTTTAGTCGGTCTAGTCGAGTCAGTACAATAAAGAAAAATACTAGAATATTAATATCATATAGATGTGTATATATATTTATATATACTGTATATATAATTTGCTAGGGTTCTGTTTCAAGAACAACTGTTAATCTTAATCCAAGAAAGTGTGATTTATGTATATAGATTTACGTAATTTTGGCCACATTTTGTCGATTGTCGTTTATTCTGCTTGATGTCGCCATCTATAACTTTACCAACTGCCTGGTAGTCTAATATCATTTGGCTGATGTGCTTGATAGGTCATGGGGCTTTCAAATGATGTAGTACAATTTTATTTTATGTGGTGTTGCCTTCGAAAGCCGGATTAGCAATCTAGACTGAAAAATATCTTTGGTGCGGTCAGATTTGACAGAAAAAAGCTCTGCATACAAGAAATTGATGTCCATCATCCTAAAATTCTCACATTATCTTTTTTTCGTTCGTTCCAGCATAATTTAAAATTATAAACAAGCTTTGCAGCAACACGCAGCAACTATCCCCTGACTAAAAACGTACACATTTTCTTGCTTGACATGGACCTTCAAGGTAGAACAACCTTGACGAAAAGCGATGCAACAACAGCAGCAGCAACTACCACCACAACATTAAATAATAATAATGTTTCTTCTATAAAAAAAATGGAGACAACAACGGCACGGCGCTCTTCTAAAGGTGGCGGCGTTGCAAACTCTTTTCCGGTTGCAGAAGGCCGACCATATCTCATAAAAGACGTGGTGGAATCCAAAGAGGCGCAAAAAAGTATTGTCAATAGTAATAGTAAATTAAAAATTGACGAGAATGAGAAGAATCATTCATTACCAGTTCTTTCGGATAAACGCAAGGAGCAATCAAGTGAGACAACAACAGCACTCAAGGAAACTATTAGTAGTAGTAGTAGTAGCAAGTCAACAGTCGAGTATGCAACAGCGAGACCAGCAAAAGTCGATGACATTACTACAGAAGAAGAAATAGAGAGTTGTGTTGGATATAAAGCAAACATTTATGATACAAGTCTTGTTGTATGTACATTGAGAGGATGTAATAAATACTTTACAAAAATTGATAAATTTACAATTCATCGAAAACGAGAACATGACACTTCAGATATCAATAGCGATATTTGGATATTTGGAAATATGAAGAAAGGTGATTCAAATAATCAGAATAATAATTCATCATCATCTAAGGCAGAAGGTGTTGTTACAAAAGACTCCTCATCATCACAACCAACAGTAAAATCAAATTCTCCAAAAAAATCAAATCCACCAAACATTTCAGAAAAAAATAACAATGTTGGCTCAAACTCAACAACAACAGCAGTAACAATTACTGCTGCTACCACTACGACTAATAACAACAACAACAATAATAATAGTAATAGTACTAATAACACTAATACAAATAATAATAATAATAACAACACACTGGACAATTCAAATCGCGAATCACACCCGAAACTACGAACAAAAAAGAGTCAACAAGAATCACTATCTTCTGTAGTCACATCAATTAATCCATCACCGGCAGTCGAGACTAATACATTGTCATCAACCAATAAAAGAATTCGAGAACAAGTTTCCGTTGAGGAATTGAAGAAAGATCATCATCAACTAGTAAATAATAAAAGACGTGAAATTCAATCTTCTAATAATCTATCAATTCAGCAATTACAACAGCAACAATCATCAACGACAACAAACACAACACCAACCACAAACAATAATTCACCATCGACTAATGGACACAATGATTCAAGGCAACAGCATCAGCAGCCATCAAGGCCTCCAAGACGATATCAAACAGAAGAAGAACACATGATTAACGCGGATCTTCGACTAAGATATCAACAGCAACAGCAACAACGTAACAATCGACAGAATGCTGGTAATCCAATATACGGAATGGGATATGAGACTGGAGAACCACCAAGATATTATAATATGCAGATGCATGCTATGGGATTTGGATTATCCCCATACGGAGAGATCGCACCTCCGCGCTATGATGGTGGATACAATGAAATGGCATATGGTGGATTCTACGGAGGAGGAAATCGACGATTTATGAATAATCCACCGCCACCTCCACCTCCTCAGCGTCGATCAAGATAAAGATTTTTGATACGAGAGAGCATACATATGTTTATACTTTATATATACATAATTTTACGTTGATTTTTTGAATTCGCTTCAAACTCTTCGATTAATTAATTCATTAATTAACTAACTATTATTGGATGGATGGATTGATTAATTAATTAATTAATCAATCAATCAATCATTCATTTAATTAGTCAATTATTCAATTGTTAAGATTGAATTTATAAGGAAATTGAACTTTTTGGCGTGGTAGTATTATTGGGGTTGACAAATTTTGGGCATTTATTTTCATCCAAGCTTAATACAAAGAAACACTCATCACACACACACACTCTCACATTCACACACACATTCACACACACACACAACATACATACATTACATACATACATATACATATTTAGAAGCAATGTTGCCTTACAATCATCCCCTATAAAATAGTGTTCGCTTGTTTAAATCACTAAAAGCTTCAAGAAAATCCCGTAATAATAACCACCAGCACACCAACGCATACAATTCGAAACATCCAATTTGAATTAGAAAAGAGTGAAAATTTGGTTAAATATTGTAAATATATTTTATTATCATACACGCACAGAATAAAATTCAAAGAAATCGACACCAAAAGTCACTCCTCATTCATCACCAAAGCAGCAAACAATCAATATATATATAATACATATACACCCAAAACGTAGTATAATTAAAATCAAAGAAAAATTCCCATCTTTTTTACTATTGATAGCATTATCATTATCATTATCATTAAATTATTGTATTAAACAAACACTTTTTAGAGTTAATGGCTCTTTATCTTTTCTAATTATGCTGCTGATGTTAGTACACTTTATTCCTCCGACTGCTGTTGTGCTCCTCCTTCACCTTGATTTACGATTGGGGACGATAATATCGACGTACCGTCATTAACACTGTAATAAACGACTGTCGAGTCGGGGGTATTAATGGCCAGAATTAAACTGCACAAAAATATAATTAACTTTTGTAAAGAAACCAAAAAATTTTCAATCGAATTTTTCTCACACATAGTTATATAATATATACGTCAAGATCATAATATAAGAATAGACGGACAATTTTTTGGACTTAAATTATAATTTTCAATACCTTTTGGAAGCTGTTGATTCATTGAAAGATGACGATGATGGCGAGGATGCAGATGTGGATACAGAAGAGTCCGGTGGGCAAATACAAGATAAAAGGTGCGAGAGTCTTTTTGTTTTGTTTTGTTTTTTCCCGGGGGGAGATATTGATACAATGTCGTTATGCGAAAAAACATTAATATTTTTTATTTTGAGCGCAAAGATACGCAGATATCATTAGAAAATAGCATAAAGAGTAATTACAACAAGAAGAATGCATATGTAGATCGATTATTATTATAAAATAATTGATTACCTTTCAACCGACCAAATTTCAAATGACGAACATGGAATAATAATCTGAGTTTGGGACTAGATAAAAGGTCAGTTGGTTAGTCAGCCAGGGGCTCAAGTTGAAGAGATATGGAAAGACCAAAGACTCACAACACACCTCTTGACTGGATTTTTTTCCTACAATAAAACATCGTCCAATCGTTTCGTTATCCTCGATAGTTAATGAAGTCCAGGATTTTACTAATTTTTAAAAAGAAGAGGGCGATACTCAATATACGTCACATGATGCAGTTTTTATTGAATATATCATCATAATATATTTTCACCGAATTTTAAATCGCGATAAACTTGTAAAAGTGTTGCGGCTTCATTCGGATACTTTTCACAAAAGGGTCGAATATTTTCGTCTTGTTGCTTTTGATCGGTTGATCAGTATATTTTTAGTTCAAAAACTCCAAAAAGTCATGAATATAAATAAATTAACGCATCATTACATACAATCCACGAGGGCAAACTTATCATCTCACTCATTTTTAAATTTATCTCAACTTATCGTTATAAATAAATTTAATACTAATTCTAATTCTAATCTCACGGCTTGTAAATAAACATGCAAAAGTATTTTATTAAGAATGATCGATTGAATGAATGATTTGGATTTGATTCATTATATTTTTTTTTGAAAACCCCACATCATATTGTTGGTATTATATATTTACATATAATTATTATATCTTCTAGATATAATCTATTATTAATTTTATCATTACTAATTATTATTAATATTAATATTATTACTATTATTAATATTATTATTACTATCTAGATTATTACTTTTTCGGCCAATATCTTTTAAACCGGCCCTCGAAATCTTTATGTAATGCACGAGCGACGCGTGCAATTTTCGAACGTGGTTCATTGAAAGTCATTGCATTCGTAAGGATTAATTTGACATCTTCTCGAACAGCCTATATTGTATTTTATATATTATTTCCATTCTCAAACTAACGTAGTGACAACAATAAGGAAAAAAAATGGTTACCTCAATATGCCGATAGAACCCATTTTGTAGTCGCTTCAATATCATATTCAAGCACATTGGGTATGCAACAATGGTAAGATACATGGGGTATAACTGTGTGTTGACGTGGTCCACAAAGTCATAATATGATGAATTAATTATGTATCCGGTTATGGTTTGTTTTAATCTGTCGGCGACTAAAAATTTTTGAACATAGTAATTAATCATATATGAACATGTATATGCATATGCATATGAATAGTCAGGCAGGCGTGTTAATCATATCTACATCTATCCAAAAACTTACCATCTCGAGCTAGATCTGAATCAATGACATACTCTGTTTCAAAATTAGGACTACGTAATTCCCAAGCGCTCATTAACCATTCTTCGGTGGTCATTCCATCCTCACTATCACTTGATTAGATAATCATTGAATATCAAACTCATTGTTATATTGTGCCCAAAAAATAAATAGTAGAATAACAATAGCTTACTGTGCAACTTTAAACGCCTGCCATGACCCAGGCCCTGCTTCACTTATTTCAACAATAATTCCTGAAACATCTTTATTTCGAATAAATACTTGTTCTTGAACACCAAGATGCTAATAAAAAAATAGAGAAAATCAACATTAAACGAAACCACAGCAATAACAATACGATATTATATAAATATACCTGTGCTTGTCCGCCTATATAAACACTATAAGGAACTATAAAGTCGGGGAAATCTGGAATTTCATAGTATTCAATAGTCAAGACCTGTGTACCTTTTGTTTTTCGTTTCCAATCGGGTGTTGTGGGTGCAGGGTCTTCGGGAGTCGCGTTTAATGCTTGTAGTAACTCTAGTTTTATCGTAAGCCAAGTTGGGGGTCCAACATGCCACTCCATTGACTTGACTCTAGCGTATAAGACATCGACAAGAGAGGCATCCTTATTCCAAGGGAGTAATTTCATTGCTTGTTCCGATCCTAGGTGCTGACCGAACGGTGTTTCGCCAAAATTAGTCAATATATGACTATAATATTGTCCGTGTCCTTGTCGGAAGTAGACTACAATATCCCCAATCTATGCAGAGAAAAACAATCAAAAATATTCACACACATGATTACCTCGAAGATTTTACAACATTGTATATTGCAAAGATAGAAATGCAAACATACCTGAGGATGAAATGGGGTGAGTGTAGAATCTTCGATCCTAATCCACGGGGAAAGGGCATTGCTATTATCAGCAGCAACAGATGTATCATCCTCGCCATCGCCATCGCCATCGCCGTCGCCATCACCGTCACCGTCGCCATCGTCATCGCCATTTTCCTCGATATGCCCATTGTTGTTCACAAAATCTTCAACGACCAAATCTTCTGCTTCTTCGGCTTGTTCAAATTTCTCCGTATCATATTCATCTTCAAAACTCTCGAATTCGTCTGGAGTGAAGATGTTCCTTTTTGATGATGAACTCGTACGACTACTTGACGCAATAACTCGATTCCGAGTTTTCGTTTTACGCGCGTATGATGATTTCTTTCTGTGTCTTACATTCTTTTTTATTGTTGGTTTATACGAAGCTTCCGAGGCATCCGACTCGAAGTCTGTGTAATCATTCTCGCGATAATTGATTTGTACTCGCCTTCGAGTTGAGCGTCTTCCCGATCTTGTTGTAACTATTTATTTAAGATTTGGTGTTTAAAATTGTTTATTATTATCCACTCTTTCTGTATAAGCAATATAGTATATAGCAAAAAATCATCGTCTTACCTTCTGTTCCCTCATAATCAAAATCGAAATCAAAATCACTTTCCGCTGCCTTTCTTTTACGACTATTTATGGTGGTAGGATGTGAAGATTCAGCCTGAGATGAGGACGCGTGTCTTGTATTGTACCGAGTAGTAGCAGATCTTGTCTTGGTCCTCTTACTAAATTGCGTCTCATCATCTTCAATATCATAATAGTCGGTATGTCTTTGTGGACGCCCATTAGAAACCATATTATTCACTAGGGAATTAAATTAACAATAATTTTTTTGATATTCTATTAATATCTTGAGCAGAAAAATCAAATCAACAGATAATCGATTCTTACACTCAGCGTCCAAGTCACTCTCAGCGTATTCATCCTCATCGTCTTCAGTGGACGGAGTATAGTCACTTGGTTCGTAATTTTCGGCGTCTTCTAGCGGAAGCCTAAATAATATAATCATCATTATTAAGAGAACACGAATGAAAGTACAATTATTGCTGACACTACCACTCACGGATGTATTGGCTCATCCATAGTGAGAGGATCATCATCTGGTTCTATTTCAATCACAACACTTGGATACTTGCTCCGGCGTTGATATAGGCGTGTTTTTGGCAGGATATACCTATAAATTGTTCGAATTTTAGTTAGAATGTAATCGCTTGATGAAAATCAAAAACATTCTAAATTCTTTCTTACATCTTGAAACCAGACGTTACCCATCTATCAATTAAAAGAGATAATATATATACATATTAATACATCATCTTGCGATTATCGACTAAATAAAATAGCAAAGAAAATTACCGTTTCAACTCCCTTCTCCAAGTATGTCTCAAGTGTTTCTCTTGTTTCCGTAATATTGTTGGAGAAACGCCGATTGGCCACTTTAGACCTTTTTTTTTTTAAAAAAAAAAACAGAAATAATAAATATTTTTATACTCAGAAATAAATCTTTTATCTAAATTAGAAATATACAAACCATAATCACTAGCTAACTGACGATCATATGCAAAACCGTATCCGGGTGCAATAACCGGACCCCGGTTTTTTAGGTGATGAGGAATCTGACAATTCAACAGAGAAATAAATTATTGAATTTTAAGTGTAGATAAAAAGCGAAATGATAAACATTTACAAACTTTTGTGATTGGATCGATTTCTAAGGCAGGAAATCCGTATTCAAAAATATTATATGAATCTGTCATGAATCCCTGTCCCTTTGGAAATCGTTCCGCGATAATATCTAGTTTACGCGCATCTCCAACAGTGAAGTATTTAACGAAACCTCTTTCCTCCGCGACCATAAACATCGTTCCTTTTGATCAAATAAGAAGATTAGATTTTTTTATTGATTTTTATAGACGAAAAGATTTCCTTACCATCTTGATTAAACTTCCCGTCGACAAACACGTATTTTTTATTTCGTTCTTCTTTTGCAACAGGATCATTAGGGTCCTCTTCGTCGTCGTTATCATCTTCTACCGAATATTTGAACTCTAGTTTTTTCATAATGAAATTGAACAATCAAAGTTAAGATTTAAATAATAGTCAGTGCACAAAGAGTATTTAAAATCAAAAATCTTCTCACTCACCCCTTATCTTAGAACCTTTGATTATGTCCCAAAAGCAGATCAAGCCGTCGTACCCGGCGCTTAGCAGGACATTTTTAAACATAGGATGGATCTCAAGTACAAAGACATCTTTTTTATGGTCCCTAAAAGTATATATGATTGATCCATCTCTCGAATCGAATATGAAGATGTGTCCGTAGCTGGAACCAACTATAACCCGACGATCATCAGGAGTCCATACGGCTGTAGTCACTTCGTCTCTGACTCCATCAGGATCATTTCTGTTAACTGACACTGATAATGTATTAATAATCATCAAATAACAAAAAAATTTAATTGTGCATGTTTAATTGCTCACGTATGATCGACTTCCATTCTTTCACATCATAGTCATAATCCCATATACGAGCTGTCCCATCTGTCGATCTATAAGATTGGAATTTAATACCTTTGTTATTGATTGTATGATGGCTCATAATATGATGAATGAAAGAAAACCAATTAATAAAATACCCGGAAAGTATCCTGTTTCCTTGATGTGAGAATGCTAGAGATAATACAGGTTTAATATGACCATCTAAATCGGCCAAATGAGTAGGTCGTCTTATCGGAGCATCAGCACTAGGTTCATCGCCATCAGGATTATTCGCTGTAAGGTCGTCTTCTCGCTGTTTTCCTTTACCCTTGGATTTTATTGTAACATTTTCTTTTTTGGTTTTATTCTTCTCCTCTGGATCATGTTCCTTTTCCTTTCCTTTTAGTTTACTCAATAAACTATCTGTTTGAAGTTTTTCAATCAAGTTTGTTGATGAGGATGGAAATGCTTTAATACTGTTACTAGTGCTAGTCCCTGATATTATTTCTGCCTCGCTATTATAGTCTTCTGGTGCCATTTGATTAACCGTGATTTCGTTCTTATATTCATCTAATTCAATCTCTGTGCCATTCATTATTATATCCATCATATCATTATCAACGTCTACGTTTCCTTCGGGGGCTTTTCCTTTTTTGGAAATGACCTTTTTTTTCTTATTTGAAGGCTCGTCTTCGTCGTCGGACGGTATTTTATCGTATTCATCACAAATGTCAAAGTATCTATGACAGACATCAACATCCAATCTGAATATTGTGGGATCATAAAGGTCGGAAATAAAGTTGCGTCCATCAATCGACGAGAACACCCTCACGAGACCATCCGTACCCCCAATTGCGAATAGCGAACCGGTCGAATTGAATGCATGACATTTTATTTTGTTGATTCCGACGGTGCTTCGTGCTTGGAAACACAGGGGTTCACTGAATTTATTATCGGGGTCGATCGGCAATATATATGTCATCTCGTCATCACTCGTTGCAAGCAGATATTTTAATTGAGGTATTGGAGATGGCGCGAATGCAATAGATGTCATCATATCATTCTATTGTAAAGAAAACATTAATAGATGATAGAAATTAAAAGTTTTTTAGAACATCTAAGAGAAAGAAAAAATTACCGCGTTAAACCTATATATTGGAAAATACGTCTTCAGATCCCAGACTGTTAAAGTGCAGTCGTTGCTGGATGTGGCCAGCAACGTGCTTTCTTTATTCAAACTCATATCACTAATCGCATCATCATGCCCTGTCAATGTCGCTATTAGGGCTGCCGTATTAGTGCACCAGACTTTGACAAGAAAGTCGTCACCTCCCTGCAATGATGAGAGATTACAATTAAATGTAATAAAAACCGTGAACAGAAAAACGCGACTACAATGATAAAAAAAAAGATAGGAATTAAAAATTTACTGTAAATAATCGCATGTTCAGCCGATCAAATATGTTCACATATGTACTGCCATAGTGACATCGAAAACTCGCTCTCTAATTATTTTCGAGTATACAAAAGGAACAAAAATAAGACAACAGCAATAATTATATTCAGAATAGCCATAGCAAAGCGAATGAAAGCTTACTTCTTCAAATTCGTGGCAAATAGATCCACTGAATCTGGATCGTGAATAAGACCCACCAAGTTCCCGCGACTCAAATGTGCTCACGAGAGTATTATCTATTAAAATACGTCAAATTATTTAACATGCTCAGATAAATACCACGGTTTGAAACAAATCTCGAATCATATTGTACCTTTAAGAGGTGTTTTTGTTGTGGGAATTTGATCCGGTAAACTTAGAGAAATCTTTTCATTAGGTATTCCTTGAAACAGACTATTACTACTGTGCGAGCCACTAGCATTATTTGACTTATTAACAAGCTGCGCTCGCATAACGCGACGCAAATAATCAGCACCGTATCCTTGATGTTTCCTTTTCTATTATATTGAATTTGGAATAAAGTTATTATACCATCACCACCGTCATATCTCAGTATCAACAAAATAATGATGCTTAAAGATAATTAATGATGAATCGTGCTTACAACTTCTTCGTATTTCTGTACATGTTCTTGTCCTGTGAAATCTATCCGTCGCGGTAGTAATTCGGGGTTCTCGTCTAGAACTCTCTGTACTTCTTTGAAGGCGGTGTGTAAGGCCGGGTGTTGTTCCAGATATGCAGCGACTATGAATGTGGTTTCTATTCAAATGGAAAGTTCATTAAAAAGTTGTTATTCACGCAAACAAAGCCCAATTGGGGGAAAAGAAGCAAGAGTAGAAGACATAGCATGACTGCTATTACTTAAAGGCGGAAAGCTTGTAAAAACAAGGAAACTTGATAATAAACATTGTACTGTTTAGATCATTTACTGTCAAAAACCCATGTCATTATAATCCATTATGACTTAGAGCGGTAATGTCCGAATGAACATGTTGAAACGAGAATTGAAGTTTGTATTTGCTGATGTCGGAGGGAAATTCTGCTCTAAATTCTAGACCGATTAAAAACAATATATTTCATTTACCTTGTTCAAGTTGAATCTCTGATTCCGACTCGTTATTATCATTTTGGATATTTTCGCGAATATTTTGCGAGTTTTCGTGCATGTTGTGAATGTCTTGTGTAGTGTGTGAATGGAATAACGTTTTGTTGGTTGTATTCGTTTAATGCTAAATTGTTACCAAAGAATAAAGGAAATGTTGATTTTCTGATGCTGGTTGGGGTTTACTTTTGTTGAAAAGAAAAAGTTAAATAAGGTTAATTAGCAACATCAATAGTTTCTGTTGTGATCGACATTCTATTTTCGAATGGCGCAGCAGAATTGACCCACTAATAGCCAATCAGAATCGATGTATATAGTAAAAGAGCGCGTCTAAGCAAAAGACAATGGAAAGTTGCGACGCGTCCGATATTTTTCACTGATAAGTACCTTTTTTGGGATATTGACATTAAAGAAGGCGAAAATAGTTTCGAGTTTTCGATGAATTTTTTCTTGGAAATTGCCCGAAAAAAGCCTGGAAAAAAGACAAAATTTCTTGGTGCGAGTCGTGAAAAGGGTGTATTATCGAGTGATGATATTGTCTAGTGATGATGGATGTGTCAACTCTACGTTTTTCTCGACATTTGAATATTTAATTTTTAGTTAAAAAATTTACAAGTAAAAAGATGAAAAGGATGTATAATACGTTTCTTGATTGGGGCAGTTTGATGAATTTCATTTATGTTTGTGTGACGAAATAACATTGCGGTAATGATGATAATGATGATCAGGATGCAAGTAGTTGATACTTTCTTAGTATATACATGTATTGTTAGGATTATCCAATAGTAATTTTTTATTATGAAATTTCGAGTTACTTGAACAATAAAAATAAATTTTTATTAATAAATTCAGTTTATCTAGTAAATTCGGTTTATCAAGATGAATATTAGGTTTATTTTAAAGTTCAAGAAACCATGTTCTCAAATATAGCCAAACCTCAAACTTCGATCTAATGAGGCATTAACGTTAATAATTATGTAAATTGCTGGTAACAAAATTTTGATTCTAATGGTTGAAAGTTAAAGAACAAAAAGATTTTGCACCCAACCAACCTCCGGACAACATTCACGAAAGCTAAACCATTCAGTTATTTCTATTAGATACGTTCTTGTTGAAATAGAATCTAACGCTAATGATAAACTCACGACGTTTATCATTTCCTATTTCAAGAACTTTTATTACCGTTACACGGAATAGATGCATGTAAAATTCCATAATTTTTTATTTCATAGATTATGTTAGTCCACATTATATAATGATTCTTGAATTTCGGATAGCATCTTGAATAGGTTTGTAATTTTTAGCATTACCACGTGATAGTCTACCAACTTGGATTACCTGCCACATCCCATTCTCGATACGCGTCACGCAACACATTATTACCGCTTGAGAATTAGCGGCATCCTGAAGAGTGTAATGACACAACTGTATATCCGGACGCGATTCATCACACAATTTAAACATAGGTGTATTGAACTTGCCAATAGTATCGCAGTTCCATGCACTTAAAATAAAGTAAAGATGTGTGACATTTCCAGGAAGCTCGTCGAGTTTCGCGGTGATTTGATGACTTCCTATTTATCATAGTATAATGAAGTGTGTGATCAGCGCGATTAACCATTACATGTAGAAAGAAAAACTGACCTCTGCTGTTCGCATAATCGATCACATCACCGGAATGTCTCATATTTGGAAAATTCGGATGATTATTAGAACTATAGTCAAACTTAGATAGGAGAGTTATTTGCTGAGAAAAATAAAATGAAGTCTTAAAAAATAAATGCTTACAATCATGAGAAGTTCAGCCCCACTGTAGACCATACAAGTACCATCAAGATAGTCTTGAACTCCAGAAGGAAAGCCCCAATTAAGATCAAATACTAAAGATCGAACGGCCTCGGCTTCGCTAATGGAATACAAAATAACAATAAGTTGTACATGGCTATTATCACGAATACCATAATTTGATAATTTATTTGCTTGAACCTATTATTACAGACATGAATGATTAGCGAACCTTATGATCAATGACGATAGTCAAGACAAAAAAAAATACTTGCATTTAATTCTTGCCGATTAAACAGTAATTTCTGTTTCGATATCTGTACACCAAGTTCCATCTTAATATGCATTTTTAACGCGTAAACTGTTGGAACTTTTGCCAGATCTAACTTAAGCTTATGTCCATTCAATAGTACCACGTATATATGTCCATTATTTGGAAGAGTATCCCCTTCAATATAATTATTATGAGTGGGATTTTGCGATAACAGATCGAGTTCATTATCAAGTTTAAAGGCAGCATTCCTCCAAGTTGTTAAAAGAAATTCTTGTTCGGTTTCATTCATAGGTGAATTACATTCGACACAACGAATAGATTCTATTGAAGAGGGCTTTTTCTGTTTCTCGATTTCAGCGACAAGACACTTATAAAAAAATTATGAGAATTAACATGATATATTGTAGCGTATTTTGCCCTAATTGCAGTTTTTTACCCGCAAGCATAAAGTAGAAACATGCTCGCATTTATCAGTGGGCTTAGTTGGTGGAAACTCATTTGTTAATTTATTGATTTGACAAGCTGAACATTTCATGACTTAGAAACAGCGACGGACCTATGACTCTCACACATTGAATGTAACGATGACTATTGAATCTTTGTGTCACACGATGACACAAATAGAATGAATATATATAACGATAAAAAATCGAAATTTTATTTATTTCGCTGATTTTCTGCAAAAATTTAAAGTAAAATCTAGAACAATCCTGCTTCTGCAATAGCAATCATAATCGGATCATAATCGTTAGCATTGCCAATCGTTGGTTTACCAACTTCGATTACCTGCCACATTCCATTCGCTACACGCGTCACGCAACACATTATTACCGCTTGAGAATTAGCGGCTTCCTCAAGAACGTAAGAACACAGTTGTGTATCTGGTAACGATTCTTCATACAATTTAAACCTAGGCGTATTAAACTCGCCGATCGTATTCGATTGAAATGCACTTAAAATAAAGTAAAGATGCGTGACATACTCGGGAAGCTCATCGAGTTTCGCGGTGATTTGGTGGCTTCCTATTCAATCATAATATTTGAAAGAATATGTCATCCACTAAAGTATTTGAATTATAATACATAAAAAGAAAAATAAATTTCTTATTAACCTCTTTTTTGTGCAGTATCCATAACATCACCAGAATGTTTCACGTGTGGAAATTTCGGATAATAAATAGACATATAGTCATACTTAAAATAATAGAAATAAAGTTATTCCTGTTCAGGAGTAAATGACATCTTAATGATAACTTACTTTCTTGATAGGTTCATCCCCACCGTAGACTATGCATGTACCATCAAGATAGTCTTGACCTCTTGCTGGAAAGCCCCAATTCAAGTCAAATATCAAAGATTTTAAAGCCTCTGCTTTGGTAATGGAATAAAGAACAACAATAAGTTGTATGTAGCTATTGTTACGAATACCATACTCTGATAATTTGCTTGCTTGACGAGTATCTGGTTGAATATCCTGTGTCATAAAGATTATTAGAATTCATAACAATGCTAAATAATCGATATTAAAATCGAAAATAAGATACGTGCATTCAATTCTTGACGATTATAAAGCAATTTCTGTTTTGATATAGGCACATTAAGAAACTCTTGAATCTGTCTTCGTAACGCGGGTACCGTAGTAACTTTTGCCAGTTCCAATCTAATTCTATGTCCATTCAATAGCACCACATATATATATCCGCCCTCTTGGGCACTTTCTTCGCCTCCAACATTATCATTATTGTTATTATTGTTATTATTATTCGTGTTTTGTAATAATTGCTCGATTTCAACATCAAGTTTAAAAGAAGCATTCCTCCAAAGCGTCAAAAGAAATTCTTTTTCATTTTCACTCATTGGAGATTCGCATTTTTCACAACGAATTCCAGAATTTCCCGAAGATTGGGAGGAACTACTTGGATTGTTTTGCGGTTCTTTTGTCTGTTTCTCGATTTTTGTGATGAGACACTTGGGAATTTTCAAAAGGATTTATTGAGAATTAACTTGGAGAAGTATATTTTGCTTTGAAATGCGACATTTTTTTACCCGCAAACACGAAGTGGATATATGCTCGCATCTTTCGGTAATAGTTGTTGGTGGGAATTCTTTTGTTAACTTTTCAATTTTGCACTCTGAACATTTCATTGCTATTTTTCTCGAGATAATACGATAGAGGTAACGGTAACAATAAAGTTAAAAGAACATCTTGTGAAAGCAGCAAACCTGTTTTATTAACATCTATCATGGGAACATCAGTTACCTGAATTATGTATGAATATGATACATTATTTACTGTAAAAGTACTCATTATATCGCCACAAGCCATCATGTGATAGATTGGTGGTGTTGGAATGTGGGAATTATTCTTTTCCTGTTTATACACTCTTGTAACATTAATCTTTCCGCCGTAAGAAACAATGAAAATACTTAAAAAACGAAATAAAAGAACTGAAACAAGTCAAAATAATGAAAATAAAGACAAACCACAAACTTCTCTATCTTCTGATAGAATAACGGGAGACCCGGAGACTGCTGCAGTAGAGAATAATGATGCCATAAATAATCAAAATCAAACTGATCAAGAGCCCAATACTTCAAGTTCAATGGCAGAAAATCTGGCTCAAAATGAAACTAATGAGAAGCCTTCTGTCAAAAGCTCACTTGGTGGTCAACAATCTGACCATTTGCAAACTAATGATTCGCCATCAACGTCACGAATTCAGGAAGACGATTTAGCAGAAGTCAGTTCTGAGGATCCTACTCCAAATACCAATCCAAATCCCATCGATGACAATACTAATCCAGATCCCACCGATGACAGTAATCCTGATGGTGAGAATTCGTCGGATGATGAACAACAAGGTGATCCAAATACTGAAGACCATGATGATCAAGATGGTGAAAGTCAAGGCAATTTATCGGATAGTGGCCAAAACGATGTTAATCCTAATCACGAATCACGTGATGATGGTCCACAAAGCGTGATTGATGATCAAGGTTTGTCATCTCAAGCGAACAACTCAAACCAGGGTTCGTCAGGATCGGCTAACAATTCTACAAAAAGAGTTGATGGTGAACAAGAACAAGAAGTTGATTTATTTAAACGACCCAAGGCTCATAAAACTGATTCAGAACGAGTGCAAAGACCACCTCAGAATCTTGAAAAATACTTTACCGTTACTTTTCACGTTCATATGCCTACAAATCTATCTAAAAATTACATACCTGTTGTACTTGGCGATATTCCTGCATTGGGAGTATGGAAAGAACCACTTGTAAAGCTTCATCGTTTTGGCGGTGAAAATATCGATTACTGGATTTCGGATCCTATCAAAATTCCCACATCCTATATTACCGGAGATCGAAACATCGCATATAAATATGCCATATGGTGCAATTCACGTTTTTCATTGCTCACAAAAGAAATTACTTTTGAAGGCTATGGTGAAAAAGATAACCGAGAGTTAATTTTAAAAGAAGATTTTTATGATATTTGGAAATCAAATTGGGATTATAGTTTGAAAATGCTTAAAGAATGTTATTTTGTCAAAGACATTTACATGTCATTGAACGCAAATAATTTAAAAGACACGATAATTGAATATCAATCGTTACGAAAAGCACATCCTAGGGCAATGATTTCCGCTACAAATTTGAACTTTATAGCCGAGAGTGCAATGGATGCCGATTCGTTCAATCAAAAGATATTCTTATGCCTACTTCTAGGCTATCACATAGAAGACCATGAAACGAGTAAGAAAAATCACTTTCGACTTTCGGATAATTTTCCTTCTGTACCTTTGCTCGAAGGTATTTGTGCTATTGGATCAGATAGCTTGCCTTCGAATACAGTGCGTTTGCTTAGGCCTACAATTGCGGCTCTGGTAAGACAGAACTCATCGCCAAACTTTACTGGATGCGAGTGGATGCATTTATTTTCTGTAGCGGCCGAAGTAGACCCCACGTACGATTTTTTAAATCATGTACAAAAATGGGAATACGAAATGGCTTTTTTACCACTTAAATCCGCTCTGAAAAAAATTGTAAAGCCAGTAATCGATAAAACAATATCAATGGCAGATTATTTACATATACTTAAGGTATTATATGATCATTTATTTTTCATTATATTAAATAAATATTAATTTTATTAACAAATTTGCCTTGCTATTCAAAATAAATTAGAAACTTTTCGGTCTTACTACCACCATCGATATGTTTGTCTTTATATGGCAAGATATCGTTCGTGTTGAGGTCAAAGATTGGACTCATTACTCCGACCTTCAAGTTCAAATGCGCGAACATTTTTATAAATTGATTGCCTCGAAAAATGCAGCGAGCTTGTATGAGTGTCTCAATATAATGCCAAAGGGATTTCATCTATTAGTAGCGGAAAAGTTACGAAAAAGAATGTTTGATCTGTTGTATAGTCAAAGAAATAATAAATGGGACGAGAAGAGTGTTGAATACATTTCTAAATTATTATCCGAAGAAAGGCTCTCTTGGACGAGTGATGATGCTATTCAAGCCTTGGATATTATCAGTAAATCTCAAGATCTACTTTTATTAAAGAATTTTCCGAAATTTCTGGAGAATGTGATAGAATATAAAGATAAAAATTTCTGGAAGAAAACATCAAGCATTTGCATCCATTGGTATCAACAGATTCTCGCTCTCATTTGTGGAGATAATGTGGAACGTCAGATTAGAGGAAACTTTGTCAATTATATTTTCGCTTACCTATCAGTAATCTACCCTATTATTGCTGAAATCGATTCATTAGTTGACCAATTACAAAAAACTGCAGTCAAGCAGGTTGAAAAATTTACTGATGAACTTGTATTCAAAGCCACTGCTTCAATTGGGGGTAATTCGAATATAAAGATTGTAGAATGTTTTGAGCAAGTGATCAAGAGGCGTTTAGATCATGCTATTCAAAATAGCGACGAAAAACTTAAAAAACATATAATGAATATTTGTGATTGTACCAACCTGAATCAGGGATTAAATGTTCCTAATAAGTAAGTTACAGAAATTTTTACTCATAAATATTATTGAAATAAATCTGGTCTAACTTACATTTTGCATTTATTAACAAATAGATTATGTGAGGAGATATTATTCTACATAATGACCCAATTGCAGAGGAAAATTCCTGACTTATTGATTGGCGATATTATCCCTGATAATCTTCACATCGTTTTACTCGACTCCTCCAACTTTTGGGTGGTGATTTTGCAAGCTTCTGGCACGGTGAAACGCTTACATTCTCATGTTCACATACGAAAAGTTGTGAATGCCATTGTTCAGCTCACCGAAATGCTTCAAAAGAGTAATATCAATATAAGTCTGCTTCGAAATGTGTTAAAATATTCGAATCAAAGATTGCTTCGTTATCTTGGAGCTGTCAAACAATCTAGTATCACTGAAAAATATCTTAATGCCATTCGTGAAGATTGTTTAGCATATGAGAGAAAATTGAGGCAATTGAACAATTTTTACACTCATTTTTGCTCAGACCAAAGATTGACCGACACCCAACATTATAACAATGATATTGAGCAACGAAGGCGATCGCTTGACAAAACATCATTGGGTGAAGTTCTATCACTAGGTAATGAATGTTAATAAAATCATCAAAGTATTATGGTTATTATATTAATTTTTATTTTTATGCAGATTATTGGACGATGCACGAACAAATTCTTGAGATTGCGGAACAATCTGATAACTTTATAAATTCGCAGACTTTTGCCAATTTTTTCGAAAATTGTTTGGAAAAAGAAGCCAGTGATTTGTCAGTTTTGACGATAGCAACAATTATTATGCAAAACACATTCACCGAATATGATGAATTAATTAAAAAGTGTAATAACTGGAAAAAGCTAAAAATCTCATCTGCATCCCTACTTTGGAAAAATACAAAAAATGTCGATGACGAATTAAAATTCTTATCAAAATGCAAACGCTTGATTGTAACTAGGGATTTTGCGACCGGAATAAAGAATCTTGTAGACGTTCCAATGTGGATTTCTCGCCTTGAACAATTGCAAGTCTTTTTCTTATGAACTGTTACTAGTCCATCATAAATTCACCTACTAATAATTTGTTATGATTCGTTATAACTCCACAAAAATAGATGGAAGACTGTAGAAATATTTAGAGTTGATGATAATAAAAAACGGCTCCCTAGGCTATTACAAGACCTCCACGATGAAGATAAATTATTCGGAGACTTATCACGGACTTTTAATGAATTAACTAGAGTTTATGGATTCATAGAAAACGATTGCTGGTCTTTAATTAAAGAACTTTCGACCGCTGGAGATTTTATTATTTTTTTACAATCTGTTGCAGAACACGATCTAAAAAATTTAATTAATGCTGTAGATGATCATTCTGATGAACGGTTGATACAAGAAGATACTGTGTCTTCTTTGATTCAAGTCAAGCAATTTTTGCTTCCAGTAATGAGCCGTACAGGTATTCTAATGTCATTATTGCATTATTAGATTCATATATACTAACTAAATATTCTATATTCAATAATTTGCAGAAGTAACAAGCATTAATGCTTTCATCGACAAATTAACATCAATTTCAAAAAAGAATCCTACTATATCGAAAAAAATTGCCCTTTGCAATGCACATAATCTTGCACTGAAAAACATGTGCAATAATATTCTGAGCAAAGGAGAAGTAACAAAAAAACGCATCAAAAATGCAGTCACCATAGGAACTTATGTATTTTGGCGCCCAGAAAAAGAGGACAACTGTGCGGTATCATTAACTTATCATTTGCAGGCAGAACTCATCGAATACACTCTTGGTGATTTACTGGATTTACGAGGTCGTGCTTTGTTAATCGCAAAGTCATCAAATTCAGTTCAACTTATGGAGATTGATGGCGAGGACGAAGATGACCACGAAGAGAAATACAATAGTGACTTTGTTCATCACGTTGATCTTGCACAGCAAATTCTGAGTGTCGCATCAAAGTTAATGCAATTGGGACACTTTTCTTATCGAAAATTTGAAGAAAGGGCTGCGAACGAAGAAGAAATGTTAGAGTTGCTCGAGAACCTCAAGGATGACTTGAATAAATGGTGAAAATCTTCTGTTTACATGTTCATTATTATTTTCAAACAATCTTAATATTACTTACTTAATTTACCTCCAATAGGGAAACTATCATTAATCAAATGCAAGAACAATACTATTACTTGACATTTTATCCGGCGCGTCATATTTTGACATTCTTTGATTATTTTATTGGGAATTCTAAGGATAATCCCGAAAATAAAAAGAACTGCGAAACTCTCTTAGCTTATGTCAATAAGCAAGCCAAATTGCCACCAGCAACCGATTATAATAATTTCGACTACAAAGGGGAATCGCATGAAGGAATCCTCGGTGAAATCGGCAAAATATTGCACAATATAATCGAAGGCACGCCAAAAAGAATTCGAAAAATTTCCGCACCAATCGAACTTGTTCTCTCTGACGTGGTTAACTCTGGCCAATTGTTTGTTGCTGCTTGCGAAAAAGATCGATTGGAAAATACAATCATGTCGATCTTTGCTAATCACGGAATTTATCCGGAACCTTGGCAGATACTTATATGTCGTTCTTCTACAACTGCAGAAGAACTTTCTCTTTTTACAAAAAGATGTTTTTTGGCTGCGATAAATGGATATGGTAAGACAAATTTTCAATTCTATTTCTAATCGTATGTTTATGAAATAATTCTTAATAAGAAATTTTCTTTATCCAAATAAAAAATCTACAGATGAACATTTGTTTTGTATAGCCAATTTGGAAGTTCTGGATTTTGAGCTTCAATATACTCTGGTAAATGATATCCGATCACTATGCGGGAAAAAGGAGCAATATAATTTGGCATTGATTTGTTGCAGAGAACCCGGAATTCATCACCACATTCTCGACCAATTTCGGGAACATGTTCATGCCACTAAAGGTCTCAATGTTCAGTCAATGAGCAATATTTACACGGAAATATGTCCAGAAGTGATGTGTGTCTCTTCAGATTTATCTGGACAAGGCAAAACTGAGTGGATCCGTCAAACAAGTATGGAAAAAGGTTTAATACCACGAAGTTTGTTAGTCAGCGATGGAATTCAATTTGGGAAACTTGTGCGTCAATTGAAAGAGAGCAACTTACATAAATATGAAAGTTTGCATTTAAATATTTTATCCGTTCAACATCCTGGTGAAGTGAATATGTTCCTCTTTGAATTATTGACATTGGGAATGGTCTCAAACGAAGTAGATATTGCAGAATTACCAGGTACACTAATATTCATAGAGGTGGCGTCCACTGTGGATCAATATCTTCTTAACTCACTTCCACTCACCGGATATCTCTCTCGACAACATCTAACTTGGGATGATAATCAATTCATTTCGTCACATGAGCTTACAAGCCCGATTCAGGTGGTGGCTCGATATCTGGATGCATACGATCATGGGGTTCTTAATCAAACGGACATTTCAATCAATACAGGACCTCCAATACGAGCCAATCGTTGTAAAGAATTGATAGAACAGTACTTTTTTGGTGAAAATGCAGAAAATATCTCTTCATATCGGTTTATCGAGATTTTTGTCAATGTGCTAGCTGATCAGTTGATCCGTATGTCGACAAGCACATACTTTCGAGTTGAAAATCTTCAGTTAATGGTAAAAGAGCGTGATATTCGTTCGCTATTGATGCGACAATTCATTGAAACGGGCAAAGAATTCGCGACGAGATCAATTGCATCGAAGACAGCACAATTAGATAATATTTCTGAAACGGATATTGCACGATTAGGAGCTATTTTACGTATGTTATTTAAAGAAAATTTGTTTTCTCTTGTTTATCAAACTCGCACGTTTATTTTTATTCCCTATATTTTTAGCGTGGGAAGAATCGAACCATCTATTAGTGGTGTTTCTAACGCAATTGCCCGATTCTATTGCGGCATTTTATAGCGACAAAACAAAGGTACCAGCCAATGTTGAAATTCTACTAAAAAGCCAACAAGTTGATAACCGAAATTCGGCATTGGAAGATTATCATATGATGAGGCCGGATGTCTTACTACAAAAATTGGAATCCCTTGCCCGAAAAACTATGCACAAATTGGCATTTCCACAATATGCTTTATCGGCAGACAACTTATTGAAAATGGCGCTTATTCTATTGAGAGCTCGTGCTCATATACCGGTGATTATATGTGGAGAAGCAGGATGTGGAAAGGTATTCATTTTTTTTTTATTAGAATGTTCTTTTTACTGTCACTCATTATAACGTATATAATAATTTGATTTTTATCTTTATTAATAGACAAGCCTTTTACACTTCTTATCGATTGTCATGGAAGTTCAATTTGAATCTTTGAATTTACATGCAGGAATACGAGAAGACCAAATTTATGCATTTATTAATGATGCTACTGAAAAAGCGGAAGAAGGAGAGCTTTGGTTGTTCTTTGACGAAATCAACACTTGCAATCACATTGGAATTCTTGCTGATCTGATTGCACACCGAACTCTTAATGGAAAGCTTATACATCATAATATTAGATTATTTGCAGCAGCAAATCCGTAAGTTTTTTATTATTATTAATTTCTTGCGATCTTTTATGCTATTATTAAATTGAACATTTTTCTCAAGGTATCGATTACGCACCAAAGCTCAAAGTAGCGCAGGATTAACTGCAAAATTGCGTTATGAGGAACAGAGCAAACTAGTATATCAAGTGCATCCTCTACCTGATCAACTTTTGGATTATGTTTGGGATTATGGTATATTGAAGCCAAATGATGAGTATTTGTATATTCGAATTATGGTAGAAAAATCACACGAATCACTTGGACCGAATGCGGTTAAAGATGGTTTCCACGATTTATTATTTGCATCACAAAATTTCATTCGGGAACATGAAGAGGTTTAAATTGTTGAGTTTAATTAAATAATTGATGGGATTTATTATCAATTAACAAACTGATCAGGAGTTTATTTTTATAGCCATATAGCGTCAGTCTGCGCGACGTTAAGCGCGCGGTTAAGCTATTCCTATTCTTCTCCGATAGTCTTAAAAAAAGGCCAGCACTGAAAAATCCTAAGTCAAGAAGTCGCAGCAATTACCCAAACACAAACCGTTATTCAATTATGACTCGTTCTTATTGTCTTGCCTTAGGACTATGTTATCAGGTTAATACATCTTTTGATTTTTTTTTATATTTGATAAGCTGAGGACAGAATTCATGAAATTTTTATAGGCAAGGCTATGTGAGAAAAAATCACGACAACAATATCGAGCAGAAATCTGTTCAATATTTAAAAAGAAAATGACCGAGAAAGACTTTAATGATATACTAAAAGAAGAGCAAGAAGACTACTATTATCGTATGGTAACTGGACCCTCAATTGCTGCCAATTCAGCACTTCTTGAGAATATTCTCGTGATGATAGTGTGCATTTTGAATCGTATTCCGTTATTTATTATTGGTGCTCCTGGAAGGTAGTTATATATTTATTTAATTTATTCAATAATAATATGTATTGTGACTATATTAAGCCGCTATATTTTTTAAGCTCCAAATCACTAGCTATACGACTCATTAGTCAAAATCTGCGTGGAACTGACTCGTCGGATCCATATTTTCAAACGTTGCCAGGGGTAATTAATGTTATGTATTTATGAATTCGATTGAGAAATTTATTAACTAGTTGTCTTTTCGACTTTTTCATCATATTAAGGTATACGTCATTCCTCACCAAGGCTCCTCATCATCGACCTCTGACGGTATTCTCAAAGTCTTCGAAAAAGCTCATAACTATCAAAAAACAAGTTCTCAAGAGTTCCCTATAAATGCCGTAGTTTTACTGGACGAAGGTAAGCAGAGACAAACCAATAAGATTAAAAGAAAATAAGGGGAATAGTAAATTAATAATTTACTTGAACTTTCAGTCGGTTTGGCGGAAACCAGTCCATTTAATCCACTTAAAGTATTGCACTCACTCCTCGAACCAAGCTATCCAAATGATGGCCCAACAGTTTCCGTTATTGGTATTAGTAATTGGCGATTGGATAATAGTAAATCCAGTCGAGCACTTCTCGTCCAAAGGCCCAAATTTGATAAAGAAGATTTATTGGAAACAAGGTTTGTATATCTTATTTTTATTACTTGATACAGCTTTCAAATGATCATATTCTATATTTATTTGTGTAAATAGCAAAAGATTACTTGAAAATAAAAGAAGCAATCACTATCATCGGCACTATGACCTTTTAGCTGATGCTTACTTGAATTACGAGAATAATCAAACGTCTTCGAATTTTCATGGTATGTTTCAAATGCGGCAATTTACAATTGAAACTTTTATTTATATACGCTATTTAATTAGGGTTACGAGATTATTACGCATTAGTGAAGAGCTTAAGTGGAGACTTGACAGGTAATTCTTAGTTTTTTTTTTACTTTATCAATTTATTTTATAATTTCTCGGCTATCTGATCAATTAATTAATTTATTTTTTGGAAACCAAAAATAGCAAATTCATTACAACAAGCATTAGTTCGTAATTTTGGAGGCACCGAACAAACGTTGGAAGTGTGCAAACGATACTTTGGACAAGTTTTAAATAATCTTGATGGTAAAATATAAAATTTTAGAATCTTATAAAATTAAAACATGATAACTGTTGCTAAGTTTTAATTCTGATGTACTATTATCAGGTTCACTATATGATTACCAGCCAATCCCAGTGGACACGTTAATTAGCGCGAATATGGATGATAAGGATGCGCGGCATCTAATGGTGATTGGTAAAAGTGACTCCATAATGGATATTCTAGCATACCAATTGCGTCAAAAAGATTTGGATCCAGTGGTAAATTTAATAACTTTGTCCTAACTTTGTTATGGTCTTTGAAATTTTAAATTTTGTTGAATGAATTTTGTAGGTCATTTGTGGTTCGCAGTTCCCAGATGATCAGGAAGATTATTCGTATGCAGTGTTAAGACGTATTATGGTAATAAGTTTATTGATTTATTTTAGTGATTCTGCATATTCACCTTAAATTGTTGTGTTATTTTATCTTAAATTGGCGTGTTATTTTCTCAGATATGTGTTGAAACTGGTCGGTCCTTGATTTTAACTGATTTGGAAATAATTTATGGTAATGCATCATTTTTAATCTTTATATGTTGCGTTTCATTTTCGTTAATCTTACTATTGAAATTATATTACAGGGAGTCTGTACGATTTGTGGAATCAGAATTACATAACTGGTATGAAATGAATTTAATTTAATTTCTCTTGGCATTAAATGTTTTGAATTAAATTAATCAAAACGAATTTTTTCTATAACAAAATCTAAAAAGCCGGTACTCAAGAAGATCCAAAGCACTTCACCCGAGTTGCGTTAGGCGCCTACTCAAACCCAATGTGTTTTGTCCACGAAAATTTTCGCTGTATTCTAATCATGGACGAGAAGAATCTGAAACTAGCAGACCCGCCTCTTCTCAATCGGTTCGAGAAACAAAGAATGAGTATCAACGACACACTAAACGACCATAAAAGGAATCTGGTCGAGTGTCTTTTGACATGGGTTCGTCAAATTTCAACATTGGTGGAAATAGAGGTTAAGAATGGACAGATGGACTTTTCAGAAAATGACATGTTCATTGGGTTTAATACAGAGGAGACAGTGCAGAGTTTGGTCATTGATAAATGTCAGAAAAATCCCAATCTAAATGATAATAAGATAATTATGAAGGTAATAGAAAATTGTAAAGTTCATATTTATTTCATCATTAATACCTTTTTTTTAATCAGTGTAAAGAATCGCTTATCTCCATTGCATCTTCTGATGGCATTGTACGATCTGAGAGGTCTGCTTTGGCTAGCACAAATCGTAAGGAGGTGACACACTGGAAAACCACTTATTTCTTTAATCAACGACATGATGATATTTACGCCTATTTCGAAGATTTACTAAGAGTGGATAGCACCATCCCAACTGGAAAAGAGAACCATCAAGTGATTATAAATACATTTTCCAACATCAACACCGATGTAAGCTCAATATTGCGAAATTTAGTATCGTGTCAAATCGACAAATTATCTACCTTCAAAACGGAAGCTCAACTACAAAACCGCATAAAACATTTCTGGCTTGAATCCGATTCGCAATTATTGGTTTTGCAATGTGACGTGTCAACAGTAAAAGCCAGATGCATCAAATTGGCGAAATTTATTATTGAACAATTCCGATCAGAATATTTAGCTCGTGACAAGCAACCAAACAAACATGCTTGTATCATTCTTCATACTCAACGTAAAAGCGAATTGATCAATTCTTGTTCGTTCAATTTTATGTGTGGCTGGGAACAAATCACTATCGAGCTACTTATTCCACAAGAAAAAGCGTTATCTAGCTTGCTGACTGGTAATCTTGTGACTATAATCGAATCATCATATCCATTCAAAGATGTCCTACAACAAGAGTTGCTGTGGTGTTTATCATGTAACAAATATCCTTCGACACCAAAGTCAGTGATTCATCTACGATATTTGCTCCAAGAAATACCAAATCATCCAGCGTTTCTAGACATTATACATGAAAGAGTGCGACAATATCTGCTGGAGCATGATTCGAATAATTGGCAATTGCAAGTAGCCTCGAACAAAAAATCATTGTATTTATACTCATCGTTCTTGGCGGCTCTTCAATCACATATTCGAGAATTTATTCGAAAACCAATCGCTCAAATCTTGTGTATTCTGGAGCGATATTCCGTCATACAAACATTCTTTGAAATCGATGGCACATCGAAAGGAGACGATTTGCTCGCATTTTGGTTTGAAATGTTTCGGGACAAAAGAATCGTAAATATTGATGAACTGCTAGAACCCAAACCAGATTTATTCCGAATGCCAAATATTCAACACAAATTGCAATTCCCATTTTCTTTGTATTTTTTCGACCGTATTAATAATTTCAAGAAATTATATCAAGAAGAAATTTCACGATTATCGGAGGAGGATGAGAATCTCGATAATGATGGCAGACTTTTGAGCCATATTAGTGAAGATGTTCAAAATCAATTTGCAAGGAACATTTTGACAGCAATTCCTTCACTTCGTTCACCCCTCGTAGATCAATCTATAAAATTATACTACGATGATTTTCTTACTATTCTCTCATCAGAAATAATTGGTGACCACACCGAGAAATTGTTATCCTATCTCATAAAATCCGAACTTTCCGAGGAAGGTATAGAGAATCCTGCAAAACTGCATGTCTTTTGGTGGAATAATGTAGATTCTATTATGACCCAATTGAATCTGGTAAAACTTTGTCCAGAAGTGGCAGAAACGATGTTATCAAACGAATATTACGTAGAAAATAAACCCAAAAAAGACAAAGGCAAGGGTAAACGCGCTGAAATCCAACGAGACGATGACGACGATGATGATGATGATGACGATGACAATGACACCAAAAAAGAACATTTCAAGGATTATCTTTTGCGGCAAGTAATCAATATGATGCTGGAAAAATTCACAAATATTGCTAATCAAAAAGGAGGACAAGATGAAAACCAAAAAAAATACAGAGCACAGAAACAAATACAACACTGGCAACGTCTCATCAATTTAATTCTGCCTCTTTGCTCCAAACTTTCGATATCTTCAGAGACTATGCATTCACTTCACCTATTGCGCATCTGTAATGATTTAGTTTCCACGAAATCGATTCCTCTTGGTGAAATTAGAAAGCTTATTCAAATTTCCCAAGCTAATATTGATAATAATGAAATTTTGTCGATTGAAACAATCAACCTTGTATTGGGATTATTAGATCAATCAGGAACAGAGGAATTACTTTTGACTTCACGGCAATCGTTTCTTACGCGCTGCCTGGATATCATTGGATCTGATTCACCAACCCGTGAACGCCTTTACGCAAAATTATTCTCTCAGAAGCCATTCCCCTTTATGGAATCAATAATTTTCCGTATATTCCATGCTGAAGATGACGAACAAGAAACTCTATTTTTCAACCTTATTCGAAACCCCAAAGAGACCTTAAGAATGTCACGAAAATTGCAAGTAATTAATAACTGCTTCAAAAATAACAACATTGATTCACAAATGGCAGCACTTTGTGTGGATGTAATACAAAAAAGATTTTTCGGCTCAAATGAAATCGGAGATTTGACTTTGTGCTTTCACCCGGCCATTGAAACATTGCTCGCACCCAACAATTCAGAGCCTTTACAATTATTGTCATCGATTGCATACTTTAAAGAATTTGTCCAAGTGTTTTGGCAATCAACGGATTCTCTCGACAATCATTCATCGACTCAAGAAATCCAGTTCAAATTCATGGATATTGACAATTTGATTGACGATATCAATAATTCATTACGTCTTCAGGGTCAATTAGTGCATTCTTTAAAAGTCTACTTTTTAAAGGAATTGCGATCTCTTGGATTTTCAATTGAACAACTAAAAAAATTTTCTCAAGTTCAACGAAATCTGTTGCCATGGATGACAGATCTTTCCTGGGATAATGATACCAACCGAAGCAGACTTCCTATTAATCCTTATTGGATAATAGACGCGTATGTCGAAGCAGAAAATGCATACGAGTATTCCTATTCACGTCTAAACAATACCCAATTTGATACTTTCTTTCAAAGTATGTTGCAGAATAATGCTGTTGATCAGCGCATTGCCATGATTGGTTTGATTTTCGCGAGATTACATTCACTTCGAATTGCTGCTCAAGAATTTAATCACGGTGAAAAACGAATATATGAATTTTTACATAATCAAATACAACGAATGCATCTTCCCGCCATCTATAAGCAGACTATCATGAAATTGTTTGAGAATAGACATCCTCTCGTTCGACTAAATCAACAAACTAATAATCCCCAATTACTCTTAATTTCTGTGATTACGCATCTTATTGCTGTCAATGCGTCACTCCCGCCGGATCATTCTCCATTGAGTAGATATATGCATCAATTACAAGCTTGTCAAAATACGTTCATTTTGACATGTCCTTCTAATATGGATTCTGTGATTGTGAATGCTCTTAATGCTGACGACAAAGAGGGGACTAGATTCACGCGGTAATACATTTTTTCTTGGTGGTACACTATTTTTAGTCAATATTATGACGTTAATTTATTCGTTGGTTTTAAATTAGGTATCAATGTGATTGTGGTTATAAATATCTGGTAGGAGAATGTGGATTGCCAATGAGTGTATCGGTATGTCCTACGTGCCAGAAAACACTCGGAGGCAAGTATTATCAAATTATTTTATCGTTAATTAATTTCATGAATAAACAACTAATTAGTAAATTTGCAACATCATTATTATTTTTTAGGCGCAAATCATGTTATATCTTCAGGACAGAGTAAATTAGATGCAAACCCAATAACACAGAATTTACAGGAAGATCAAGCTGGATACATTGTGGAAACTAGCAATCGTGAATTATACCAAAGTGTACGCGCCATGACTCCAGCGTCATATCGAATCTTGCATTTATTTATTCATGTGATCTTTGGAATATCAGCTGTTCCATCTGTTGCGAATAATTTCATTGCCAATGTTACAGACCCGGTTAAACACTGCTCGGATCACATTGTCAATGACTGGAATGTTCTATTACAACTTTTCAATTGCACCGATGAAACACTGGCTTTATTACTTCACGCTATTATTTTCGAGATGACCAAAGAGCCAAGGCGAAATCCAGTAGCGCTTAATGCAGCAATTGAGAGAGATCAATGGGAACGATTTTTCACAGAACGTTTTGTGGCTCCCTTTGTAAAAAGTGTTAACGGAACAGCCGTTGATCTTCGCGTAAAAATAGACGCAGTGAATCATGGAAGCAGTATTTTCGAAAAAGAAATTAACGAGACAATGAAAATCGACGAATTATATAGTCAAGAATATTTACCAAGACTTTGGCGAAGAATTGGAGATACAACACTTGACAATTTACGCGCATATTTTGCTTCAGATGTACAAAATGCTATAAAGCTCCCATTCCTCGATGTATTTTTCAAGTATGAAAAAAAATTGGGCTTGATAAAGCATATTAGACCTATTGTCAAATTTGTGCAAATTTTATCAAAGCGTTTAGGTCATCGCGTAACTCGAAAGCAAGCTCAGAATTTAACTTTTCGAGATTTTATTGAAGATCAAGCCTTGATTTCAGATGAGTCTAATTATTTGGAAAATACATTTTATGATTTCGTGGAAGCATGGAACTCTGTAATCGAACACGTCACGCGTTTTCGATGCCAAGATTTAGCGCAGCAACCTACAATGAATGATGGCATCTCAGTTGTATTTGGTTTAGTAGAGCCTAAAGGAGAATCACTCTATCTCTGTGCTGTATTGAATTATTTGATTAGTCTACAAAATGAATTTTTGCGAGAAGTCGTCACGATTTCACCTCAAAATTGTCGCTCTTTACGATTTTTAGAGCAAGATGGAAGCAATGAAATTGAATCGAATACGTCATCAACACATCCCGCACAAAATGTTCGATATTATCTTGGAACAATGCAACTTGAAAACGTTCGTCCATCAAATATAATCAATTATAAATGGAATGACGAGATACTTAAATTCAGTCAAAGGAATCTCGAAGTTGGTCATGGAGAAGAGATTGAATACGATTTATACAAAATGGAAATTGAATTGGCGCGTATATTGGCATTTGATAAAGTTCACATTGAAGCCATTCAAGATAATTTATACCTGGAAAAATTCCCTTATCATATGGAATTATTCCATGGATCAATGACGTTAATAAACGAAGTAAAGAATTCAATACCACAAGAACCAATTCCACATGAAAAACTATCAATGTTACAAAATAATTCGGAATCATCATCATCATCATCATCTCAACGATTTAATCATTATAAACAAGCGAATTCACTATCATTGGAAAATGCATCGGAGCTTCTTTCTTCGCTGGAAATTCTATTATGTTTTGTGAAGCGTAATGCTCTTGGCGATGGTGACATGCTCATCACGGATTATATTCAACAATGGATGAATTCATCTTCAATTACCAAGAACAAAGAGCTGCGTCAAATCTTCCAAGCGGAGCTACAACTCAAGCATATCATCGCTTTATACGAGTTGATTGAAGATAAAGTTGCCGATGTGATGGTTGAATGTATCGATAACAAATATAAATCAGAAATACCAACAGGCGTTGAAGCCGATATTTTGGAAATAGCGGAATTCGAATCAACGGCACAACAATCGAATCTACAACTCAAAAAGCAATTGCCAGCCGAAATATTCGCTTCCGCGTTGAAACGATTCATGTTACGGTACCTTTCTGACGAACTTATTCAACCAAAGCTTCAGCTTTCACTTTATCTTTGTGATGAATCTCTTAATTGTTGGCCATCTAAATATACTGAGGAAATATTAAACGATATATTTCCGGATTCATTCCTTGTTGAGCATACTTATGAAGCTTATCAATTGATCAAAAAGAAATTAGAGGTAATTTTATCGTTATTCTTCTTTACAGATAATTAAATTATTTGATTTATGCAAGATTAAAAGAAATTTGTTTTTATTATGTATGTTATAGGTTGAAGCGATGAAACGGCAAATGAGAGAGAATAAGATGAATGCAGGAGGAGCAAGGCGTCTTCATGATAGTGGCGCACATGGAAAATCTAAACGTGCAAAGAAGAATCGAGGCGAATTCGATGCGATGTAAAAACAGGAATTGAGGCCTCTTGTATATTCTGAGTAATAGTAAATAGCCAAAAGAATCATAGTATTTTTACATGTTAATAAATTGTAATAAACAAGTTTGCTCACAATGTTTTCGACTTGAGATCGACAATCTTTACCTTTGATAGCATAATGTTTTCTCTGATTTTAGCCAAGAAAGGATAAAGTGATTTTCTTCACAATCGTCATGTACTATTTCTAATATGTTTTATCTGCAACAACTCAGACTAAAGTTGCTGGACATAATAATTTTGAATAATCACGACATAGGTCATAATATTGATGCTGTAGTAATGTGGAAGTATTTACAGGATTCCTTCAGATGAATTTCTGATGCGATTTGAACAGTTCACTATCAGAACCATCGGGATTATTACCCAAAGAAATCTTTAGAGTAGCTAAATAACGTTTATTGATTTTCAGGTCCGCTTAACCATAGACAATAGTCGTTTATTTGAAATTGATCTTGAGAAAGAGTCAGTATCTCGTTTTCCTCAATATTTACAACCGTTTTCAACAAATACGAAATCATTAGATAAAGGACATCCAGATTTTTCATTTTAATTAATTACTTGCATCCTTTTTATACTTTATTTAATTTATATAATTTACTTTATATTAAACATGTGTTACTGGAACTGACTGGACGAAATTATGTGGCATAGTAATTCCAGTGGTCACTGGACTCTTCCATTCAATTTTTTGTCACTGGATGGAAGGTAACATCCAGTCTAATGACATCCAGTGATTTTCCAGTTCCAGTTAATTCTCACTGGATTGTGTAACTCAAATGAAAGTAATATATAACGTTATAGTTATATAACGTTAAATAGTTACATAACATAAATCGTTTCTAGTCTTTTAAAGTTAACCCATTATCGTTATCTAGTACTTAAAAGACCGACAATTCAAACTCTGGCGCAATTTGTGCATTGTCCAAGTCAATATGTATATATATGCAGAACACTTTCCAAGGTCACGAGATACAATAAAATGATAATGAAGCGTGGTATCTTTTTAGGGGGCAAACGAACAATTATTTTTTATTGCAAGAAAGAATACCCCCGACTCCTTCCAAAGAACAAATAACCATATAAATATTCGCGCATAAAAAACAATATTTTTTGTCACTTTAGTGTTATGATTATTATTTAATGAACGAGTGTATTTTAATATTTTAATTTTTGTAAAACTAAAAAACGTCTCTTTTGCGCAGCATTTGTTGCGAGCAAACCAAAGACTTAATTGTCGGTTAATAACAGAAATGCCTAATACGAGAGAGTCTCCAAAAAACGCGCCGCCAAACGTCATGCATTGGTTGGTGCGGACTGCTGTTTTCTGTGTGTTTTATGGTACGTAGAATGAAGCCGTCGTTCAAACAAAAAATCTTTATACAATCCATTTTTCAACAATCTATGTATAACTTTAAAATCTACACATAAATATAAGCGAACACAAATAAACACAAAATAAACTAACCAATTTAATTAATAGCCGGGCAATCAGTTGTCATAAATTTTTCGCAATTCCTTGGACTTTTAATTTGGCCCTTCTCCAAAGCCTACTATCAAAGTTACATTCTTCAAACACAGAAATCATTTGGCGTACTTTTGATGGCCATCAATCAATTTTTTGCACCGAGCAATTTCGTGGTCACGACTGATGAGTCGGCTAAAGATGTCTTGAGCACGACGACTACGTGGAATCATGGCACGAAATTAGAGTTGAATATCCCGAGTCGGATAATGTTAATTGCTAATCATCAGGTATTTGATTCGAGAGAATTTCAAATTGGATTATTTCTCGTTACATGTTGAACTAATTGGTGGAAATTTGATCATAGATTTACGCGGATTGGCTTTATATATGGTATGTAACTAATGTTTAGTGTGTTATAAGTTGCCTGTGTGTTTGTTGATTGAATTTCTTTTTACTATGCAAGGTGTTTTGCGTATTTGGCAAATGCACACGGAGCTATCAAAATTATATTAAAAGATTCCTTGAAATGGATGCCACTTTTTGGATGGTATATTTTTTATATTAATTAAAATTTGAATTAGTTTATTTCTTAATCAATTAATACGATCCATTCTTTTTCCTTAATGATTATTAATTATTATTATAGGGTAAATCATAAATTTTAATCTCATTGAATTTAGTTTGGCTTTTCTTCTTACATTAATTCATACTATTTGGATACAAATGGCTGGATATTTTTTCAACTATGATCTTTATTATATCTTCAATCCTTAATCTCACCTTCATTCCAAACAGAAGGAAGGATAGTGTGATTATTTTCCAAAAAAAAAAGTGACCGATACATACTTGAAATTCATGATTCTATTGACTAAAAGATTCTATGATTATCCACTCATTCACTCATCTATAATATCATAGGGAATGCAATTCTTTCAATTCATATTTCTTAAACGGAATTGGGCAGAAGACAGAGAACACATGGACAAGACTTTGACAAATATAGCTAATTCCAAAGATCCGTTATGGTTACTGATATTCCCTGAAGGAACTTTAGTGTCTGAAATTACGCGTAAAACATCAAAACATTACGCGGATAAGAATGGCTTGGTAAAATAAAACTTTCATATATAAGATATTATTTTATTTGTTGACGTGATAGATTTAATCTATATTTGTTTTATAGGTTGACCCAAAATTTGTACTATTACCACGATCAACAGGCCTTCAATTCTGTTCAAGTAAACTACAAAAATCTGTAGAATATATCTACGACTTAACAATTGGCCTAGAAGGTGTAAAACCCGGCGAATATCCCGAAGACATTTTCACCCTTCGTCGAATCTATTTTGAAGGGCTCTACCCACCAAATATTCATGTTCATATACGCCGATATCGGATCTGCGATTTACCGAGTGATGAGGATAAATTCGCAGAGTGGTTACGCGCTCGATGGAACGAAAAAGACAGGTTAATGACAGAGTTTTACTTGAATGGAAGATTTACCTCTATTTATGGACGACCGAAAGTTATCCCCTCGAATCTGAACACTGTTTTTGAGTTATGTCAGATTTGGTACTTTGTTGTGCCGTCACTTTTTTTATGGTATCTTGTGAACACTTGTGGAGTAGAGTTGCCGAAAATTTCGTAACAATTACATTTATTATTTATTATCCCCATCTTTTATAAATTTTTGGAAACAAAAAATTTTTTAAATAATCATTTTGTTTTGACGTATAAAAAAATCCACGCACACATATGATATATCTATATATTGAATTCATTTTTTATTTGTTATGTAAATAAAGTTTTATATTTTTGAGATGGGATGAGCGCGGTGAAGGAAATCTGAAAATAAAAAATAAAAATTTTAGGTTCTCAATTTTTTAGTGTGAACAAATGAGGGAACAAATTTTGGCTTGAAAAAACAAATAGATCAGCGATCGGAAAAATTAGCCAACTTTAAACGCCGATTGTAGCACATCCATGCAAATTGTACTTTTTACGAATGCGCCTACTTGTCTAGTTTAGAAAATATACATTTTTAGTTATTCGCAAAACGCCAATCAATTTTAGATTCATCTTGATTTTTACATAGTAATAGATTTTGATTGAAAAAATTTTTTGATATCGATATATGCATGTGAAACATTAATTTAAATTACCTATTTACAATTTAATTTTGGCCAGAATTAATTATAATATCACAATTTCTTCCCCCGATCTCATTACTGTAATAAGCTTTCATTGTATTTACTTTTTCGATAGAGTAACATCCCGATATACTAACACCAAATCTCGTTCCCCGATCATGTTGCTGTAAAGAGCTCTCACTATATATTTTAAAAATATTATAAAATTGAATTCAAAGTTGTAAATCAAAAGAAATCATGCAATTTTAAACAAAATTTTGAATTTTGTAAAAAAAATTTATCTCAAAAATACTAGTATCACTCATAAAGTATATATAATAGCTTACAAAAGTAATGCATTACTTTTAAAATTTACTATTAAATATAGTAAAATTGAAAACTTTTATATAAAGAGAAAAATTCATATTTTACTATATTTAATTAATAAATTTTGATATTATTGTATTATTTCTGATTGTTACTGTAAATAAAAAAACAAAATAGAATAATTATAAAGTAATATAATTATAAATAAATGTGATTATAAAAAATTTGACTATATAATTAAATATAATAAATTATATAAATATAAAAAATAAAAATCAAAAAAGTAAAGATAAAAAAACAAAAAATCTTTCTCAAGTTAGTTAATATATCAAATATTTTTTTGAATATAATATTTTTTGAGTAAAAAGCAAGAAAAAAATTTTTTTGTATTCTAATAAAAGCAAAAACAAAGTATTTATTTTGATTATTATTATTTGTTAAATAAAAAATACTTACTTTGATTATTATTATATTGTGAAAAAATATTATAAGTAAAAAAGAAATATTTATTTTGGTTATTGTGAGTAAATAATATATAATGTCAATTAAAAATAATGTAATAGCATCAAAATTTATTAATTAAACATAACAAAATACAGATTTTTCTTTTTATATAAAGTTTTCAATTTTACTAATAAATATTTTTATTTTTATATTAAAGTAAAGATAATATCACATATTTTAATATATATATTTTTCAGATTTTATTTAATTTGATGAAGCTGTTCTAATTGTATATAAAGTCAATTATTTTTTTATAATTAAAACATATAAAAAATAATTAACTTTATATGTAATTAGAATATCTTTATCAGATTAAATCTAAAAAATCTGAAAAATATATATGTTAAAATGTGTGATATTATCTTTATTTTAATATAAAAATAAAAATATTTATTAGTAAAATTAAAAACTTTTATATAAAGAAAAAAATTTATATTTTACTATATTTAATTAATAAATTTTAATGTTGTTGCATTATTTCTAATTGTCACTATATATATTTCTTAGAATATTTGAAATTTTGAACAAATTTGTAAATAAATAATTTGAAAAATAAAAGCTTAATTTTTATTAATAAAATTATTTTTGGTATAATAAGTAAACTTTTTTATTAAGTTAAATTCTATAATATAATAAATATTATTTAATTTAAATAATATATTTATTTAAATATATTTTATTTATTAACTTTTATTTATTCAAAATATAGAACAAATTTATAAAAAAATAGTTTAAGAAATAAATATAATAAAAAAACTTTTTCTATAATTATATTCTTTATAAGTATTCAAGTTTGCTTTTTTATAGCAATAATTATTATATAAAAGACTTTTTATATAAAATTTCTCTTTGTAATATTATTTAAAATATATTATAATTAATAAAATTTTTTTATTAACAAATTACTTATAATTCTAAAATTTATCCAAAGTAATATAATCAATTTTTTTATAATATTACAAGTTTTATTTATTAATTATAAAATTAATTTACAAATTTAAATAGAAATTAAAAAAAGAAAATTTTTATAGTTTAAAAAAAGAAAAATATAGAGAAAGTATAAAAGAATAAAATTTTAAAATAAAAGAAATATCAAAAAAATAAAAAAAATTACATATAATATTTTAATTTTTTATATTAATATTAAATATTTTAATATAATTAGTAATATAAAAATAACAAAAATTTTTTTGTTTTGTTTTTCTCACAAAAAAGAAATATTATATTTTTAATAAATAAGAAATATTAATATAATAAAATATTAAAAATATTAAAATATCAAAAATCAAATAACTAATTAATAACAAAAATATTTATTTAATAATTTTAATTATTTATATAATATAATTAATTTTATCTTTTTTTAATTAAATAATTATATTATTAAATATAAAAATAAAAAAATATATATTATTTCAATAATAATATTTAATAAATTCAAAGTTATTTATATAATTAAATATTTTTACAATTATATTTGTTATAGTTATATTCTTTTATAATTATATTTATTATAATTATATTTTTTTATGATTATATTTATTATAGTTATATAATTTTGCTTTTCTATTTATATATAAATATAGTAAAAAAATTTTTTTATAATTACAATTTCTTTATAGTTATCAAATTTTGTTTTTTTAAGAATGATAACTATAAAGAAATTTGATTATATATAAATTTTAAAGTATATAATATATAATAAAATATTAAAAAGTAAAAAATTTTTTATTATATTATTATTTTTCAAATTTTAATATATGAAATTAAAACTTAAATATTAATTTTATTTACATATTTTTTAATTAACAATTAATAATATAAAAATTATAAATAAAGTTATAACTAAATTATAAATTATAGATTACATTATAAATAGTATTTCTATAAACTTAATATATTATTTGAAATTATTATTATTATTATTAATTTAATTATTATTTATTAAAATTTAACAAATAAATATAACAAGTTATGAAATAAAAAGTTTAAGTATTGATAACAAATTTATATATCAAATATTTTATCAAAAAATTTCTTATAAGATAAATAACACAAAATTTGAACATGTTCTTAATAAAAATATATAATTTATACTAAATAGAATTAAAAATTAAAAAGACTATCTGATTATTTTAAATATTATCACAAAAAGAAATGCATTATTTTATAAATATTGCTTTTCAATATAAATATATAATTATATATATTTTTTTACTCAAAGTAAATATTTTTATAATTTATTAAATAAATGAAATATAATTTTAATAATTTCAAATTAATAATTTGTAATACAGAATAATTCTTTTGCAAAAGTTTTTCTTGTTAAAGTTACTTATATTATAAATTCAGAATTTTATTGAAACTTAATAATATTAAATATATTTATAATATTTACTATAACAAATTTGTCTTTACTTTAAAGATCAAATATCTTATTAATCATTATAAAATTAGCAAAACTAAAATTAATTCTTTATTATCATAATGTGTTATAATTAAGATGAACTTTTTGTTCTTTTTTTCATTATAATGTGATAATAACTTAAAAGTAAATATCAATATCAATATCAATCAAACAACTCACATTTTTGCTTTTTTCACAGCAAAATGATGACTTAAAGTGAATAATTCTAATTAAATAACTTTTTATTCAGATGAAAAGAAAACAAATTCATGTTTATAATCAGCAATATCTATAAAATTCCACAAGTATTATAGAAAGTAAATTGAAAATAGGTTTGTACATCTTGGCAAAACCGTCTTTTAGACAATTAGACAGCACGAGAAAAAATATTTGAGATAAGAATATGCAAAATCTTAGTTTATAACAATTTGTCTAAAAATATTATGGATTCTTATACCAATTAGATAAAGATTTTGAATGCTTTAGATTTTGTATTACTTTCTTCCTTTATATTTTTAGATAACTTGTCTAAAACTCACAATTTTCAAAATCTTGTCTAAAAGGCAGTCTTGCATCTTGATATCATGATCCTGATCATTTCAGTAAAAACTGCCAAGTCTGAACTTTGCGATTGACAATTAATATTTGATGAATTATTTTAGCTTCTGGACTGATAGTTTTGGTTTTGCTATAGTTGCTTTCATTGCATATTAATATTTGTGTTCTTTGTTAGTTTGAAGTATATAGTGCAGGCTTTGGTTAATACTAATGAATTTCGTTAGTTGATTGTCTTCAGTGCTATGACAGCTTTGTATATTCTTGATGTAATGCTTTTTGTTTGATAATGGACTCACGAAACAATGACTGATTTAACCAGCCGGAAATTAACGAAAATTGGGTGAGGTTAAAGCGGAGTAGTTTCGTTAATTATCAAATTCATTAGAAATTCTGTTAGATAAGGTGTTAGCTTTCAAAGATTGAACTATCGCTATATCTAAAATTTCGCGCTGAGCATTTTTACTGAATTTTTGCGTGTTACACATGATCTTACGAACGATTAAAAAAAGAAGCGTTTATCGTTATACTTTTTGTTCTTTATTTCCAATACTAATTAATAGTTGAAAAAATGACGGATGCTCAACATAATAGTAAGTATTATAGCGGGAGAACTAACGGTCTTATTTGAGACGAATAAATTTCGTTATTGAGCGTTGACAAACTAACCATTTATTATAAATTTTATTTCAAACGAAAAAATTTAAATAATCATGAATAACAATCAAGATATGGACACCCCGCGTCTTCCGGATGAAGACGCTATCGCGGTTTTCGATGCCGTCAAAAAAGATATTTTCGAAAAACTCAAGGAATTACGTCATGATGATTTGATTGCAAGTTTTTTTTTGTTAAAACGGTCATTGATTTGATCAATTTAATTTAATTGAATTTTTTTGCTCAGCATCATACTCACGAAACCGACAAAATCGCTCGTATCAATGAATACAAACTGGTATTATTTGCAAAAGAGGAAGCTTCCTACGGTTGGAATTATTTCGGAAAAATTGAAGTGGCGCCTGGGAAATATGTTCATGCTAGGTAAATTCACCGGATATCTAACTTTCACGCCATATCGATATATATTTTTTTATCTATCAAAACTATCTCTACTTATGATAGAGCCCATAAATACCATCAACATAACCAACCAATCGACTTCTATAATCTTGATACTGGTGGTTTGGGTAACACTCATGATCTTAAAGTTGGCTGTATTCGTACATTAGAAGATCCACTCGTGTACTTTAACTCATAAATAATTTAATTTATACACGTGATTATCCATAAAAAGTTCATAGATTTTCTCTTCTTTTTTCGGTTAAAGGCATTATCATATATAGTATGTTGGAGTTGAACTTGTCCAAAAATAAAGCGAAAAAAGTTCATAAAAAGAAACGCAAGAGAAAGCATTCCTCTATCACAAAATTAAGTGAGAAAGACCAAGTTGAACGTGATTTAGAAGCGTTAGTCTTTGGTGTTGATCACGAAACCTTGCGTCATGAGGTATTTGAACGCGTGGGGTGCGAGCACGTTTTGGAAGAACATAAAGATACCCACCCAAAAATAATTAAAGATAAAACCGAAGAAAATGAAGACGAGAGTAACAAACCAGTAAATACCTAATGACCACGAGTTTTTGAGTCTTTATTTTAAATTATATAAGAAAATCTAATTGGCTGAATTCTTAGTTATTTGTTATTGATATACAAGGCAATCGACCACAGATCCAAAAGTCAAATGATCCAGTATCAAATATAACTAGTAGTGATAGTAGTGAAAATAGTGATCAAGAAAGCGAAGAGGAAGAAACCCTACAAAAAAGTAACTAGTTATATTTCTCTACAATTCACAAAGGATCGAATGTGCTGATTTCCATTTCAACGTTGCAATTATTATAGTTGATCGAGAAGATTCAGAAGATAATGAATTACTAAAACTTGGTAAACGCGCATGGGATGATCCGGACGACAAGAGTGCTTATGTTTCATTAAACAGACAAGCAAGACTGAAAAAACTAAAAAAAACAGAAGAAGAAGATGTTATATCTGGTGATAAATATGAAATTCGATTAAGACAACAGTAAAGTGGCGTTCATTGTTCTCTATTCTAGTCTTATATATTTTAACATAAAGCGGATGATAATACTCTTATGTTAGACATGAGAAACTTCATCCGACTCCAAGTTGGGCAACATTACCGTCAGAATTAAAGAAACAACGGAAACAAAAACAACCAGCTTCTGATGATGATGAGGAAGAGGATGAACCGGAGGAAGAATATTCGGATGAAGATATTGCATTGTTGAAGCAATCGCACGGATTCTTGGAAAAAACGAGAACAAATCTTTTACCCCCTGAAGAAATTAAGGTTATTCGTGTGAAAGATGCTAATCGACAAGCTTATTCTCAAGTATGTATTTTTATAAATTTTCTATGCTTAAATTTTATATTATTAGTTAGTTAAAATATTCAATAATTCTTTTTTCTAAAATTAACAGTGTGCTGTTCAATCAGTTAGTTTTCATCCTAATGCGCAAATGCTAATGACTGCTGGCTTCGATATGAATCTTCGACTATTTCAGGTGAATATTGAAAATTCAATAATTACATTATCATCGACTTTTTTTTTAAATTTCTTTTATTTTACATTATTAATTCAAGATTGACGGTAAAATCAATCAAAAAATTCAATCGGTATATATTAAAGATATGCCGATTTTTCATGCGGAATTCAATTCAACTGGTACAGAGATTATAGCTTCCGGTCGACGACCATTCTTTTACGTTTACGATATCGAAGCCGGTCACATTGAAAAATCCAATCGAATTCACGGACGACAACAAGACAAGTATGAACATTTCCGAGTTTCTCCGTGTGGTCGGTATATCGTTTTTGTTGGGCGTGACGGATTCCTGAATTTGATCAGTTATCAGACAAAGCAATGGATTGCCAATATGAAAATTAATAGTTGGGTTAATGGGGTTGATTGGTCGGGTGATGGCAAATATTTGTATTCGGTTGGTTCGGATGCAATGGTCCATCAATGGGATGTGGGTACGAGGAGATGTGTTCATCGATTCAAAGATCATGGTGGATTCAAACCAACCTCGATTGCTGTGTCGAAGGATGATGAATATCTTAGTATTGGGTAAGTATATATAATCTAAACACAATTAAATGTTTTTTACCAACTATTCAATCAATTCTCTTTTTCTTAGTTCCCGTTCGGGAATCGTAAATGTTTATGATAAATCATGTTTAACTTCCAACAATCCATCACCACTTAAAGCAATTTCAAACTTGACAACTGCAATCCATCATACAAAATTTAACCATGATTCACAGATTCTGGGAATTACGAGTAATTCCAAAAAGGGGCAGTTGAAAATGGTAAAAATACTTTTTTTTCCTTCCCCTTCAACTTATCTATTTGTCATACTGATAAATATATTCACCACTCAAGGTCCATCTTCCATCTTTAACTGTCTTCAAGAATTGGCCGGCTTCCACAACACCACTGGGTTACGTTGAATCCTTTGATTTTTCACCCAATAGTGGGTACATGGCAATAGGTAACGCGAAGGGTAAAGTACTCTTGTATCGATTAAGGCATTTTGCATCTGCATAAAAAATAAATACTCGTTTTGTATTCTCAAAACTTGTGCATTTTTTTATCGTCCCACACATAATGCATGAAATTTATTGGATTATAACATATTAAACGAGCGAAATAAAAAATGAAGATATATAGCAATGATTAACAACGTCTTAAACTAATATTATTCTTCACAGAATTAACATTGATAATCATAACGAATAAAATTGAATTAATTTTTGCAGAGCTTATCGATATGCTATTTTGTGGTTTCTTAATCGGTAAAAAACAATTTTAGAAAACTTTCGCAACAATAATCAAATAATAATAAAATAAAATAATTGACTCCTTTATTTGAAAAGAATCCAATGGTCTTTAATTCTGATCAGTTTTTTAGTTTTGTGAATCTTTCTAGCATAAATAATTAAGCAGGATGAATAGTAAGTAGGTCAATATAAAACTTGACAACTTGTCATGCAAAAGAAAAATAGAGAAAAATTAAGCACTTCTCACCATTATTTTTAGACCTCTCCAAACTTAATACTCAACACACCTTTGCTGGTCGGGCCAACGGCCATCCCTTCCCGACCAGTGTCCATCGCTTTTTTTGATTTGAAAATCGGCATATTGTCAATCTATTTAAATAATTTCAATATTGATTATCTGAACGAGTTATTCCAGAATTTCACACTAAGCAATACTTTAAGAATAGCTGCTACTTACCAGAGTAAAAACCATCATCACCACTGTCGTAAGTCAATTGTTCAAAGTCGACCTTATAACGAAGCAACCCTCCAATCCCACCAAATCCCTTAACAAACTGCGATCCCTCTTGAGAACGATTGGTGACAAATTCGAGAGTAGCGCCGAAATCTTTATAATGCTCAGCAAACCATTCCAATAAAGGCATTTTGTCAACAACTTCCATCTCAGTGCTAGTATCCTTATCCATGAACAGAGAACGATCCTTTCCTTGTTCTTTGGTCATGTGAACAACCTGATCGGCTATTTATAATATATTAAGAATTTAGACAATATAAGCGATCTAATAATTAAAGCACAGAATGAGGTAAATTACCTCCAATGCTGTTTTTTAGCACGTAGCGAGTAATATCTAAATTTTCCCAGACAATAAGCGTTTCTACAGCTCCCAGTTCTAAGCCTTTCAAGGTATCATCAACTCCAAAGCAGAATTTGCCAGTATCTTGAGAGATTTCGTCAAAATACTTGGAAATAAGCTTCTTTTCCTGGATGAACTTGACATTTGCTAAACTTTCGGAAGCTAACTCAATAGCCTGATATCAAAAATTCGATTATTTATATATATATATATATAAACTGCAAATCAGAAAAAAAAAGAAAATAAATTATACCTGATTGAAGCCATTTTCACCACCATAAGACACGTCTACCAACTTGAGGATCTTATTTTGTAGACGTCCATCAAACATGTCAGATTGTGAAAGTTCGGTTTTGAAATCAGCGGAACCAGCAAGAATAAGTCCAGTGACATTGACCTGTTATTGTTTTATTTTATAAATTGTTATTATTGAAGTCAAAAAAACCAACAAGGATATTTATTTTTGATATTTAGAGCTTACTTTATCATTCGTAATGAAGAACTGCACTGCCAATTCAGCTACTTTGCGCACATAATTATGTCGTTTTTCTTCTCGAAGACGAGCAAAACGAAGCGCAGATTGACCACCCCTTCCTGTCCAAAAATTAACAGAACAAACTAATTAGACAAAGTTCAAATTGATAACAACTACAGCAACTAATATTTAAATGAAAATATTTACCATGCTTCTTTGGCAAATCCACGGCAAATTTATGAACTACTTCTCTAGTATTACCGCTTAATGTGCCAAATAATGCACCATTACCATCCATAACGATGAATCCGAATTTGTTATCAGATTCGAGCAGTTCAGACAACGCCTCTGTATGAAACTTGTTGTCACAGAGATAAAGAGACGTGTTGACCGGTTTAAAAGGTTCGAAATCGATGTTAACCTTTTTCTCTTTACCCTCATCAGTGACTATTGTTCCGCAGTACACGACCAGTCCATTAGGAGGAACTATTATTTTTGCATTATTATAAGTATTTAATTTAGTCATTAAAATAATAGAGATAAATGAAAGAGAATACTTGCCTTTATTGTATAATTTCAACCGTTGCTGAGTCGAAGTGATCGCTGCTAATACTGACAATCGATTAACACGAGATTTGATGTTAGAAGCAGTACCATATTCATCTGCTAACATCTTGGAAACGCGAGGAATTTGATCCTTAGGAGCTAGATAATTTAACAGATACGGTAATAGAAAAGTTATTCCAGGTCATTTTTTAACAAAAAACCCAAATGAAAGAATACATACGAATTATCAGAGAAATCATGGACGTTCCATTTCTAATAGAGAATAAATCAAGTGTTAAACAAGAGAGAAACACAACATAAGACCCAGGTCCGTAGGATTACTCACCCTCGTGCGGCTTCCAAGCTCTTGATAAGCTTTTTAACTTTCCAGATTTCTACATTTCTATCTGTCGTATCAATTGTTTGAGCACCCGCTTGACTCATTTTGTTTGCTTCAAGTGTGGAGCCATAAAGAATAAATTAAACTTTCTGACTTATGTTGAAAACTTAAAATCACCTAAATGAAAGTGTGCTTTAAACCTTTTTCTTAAGCAAATGTATTAATCCTAGAAAGAATAGTATGTAACTGACCGAAAAAAATAAGGTCAAGTTTGTGCGGTGCGTATCGAAAAACAATTTTTTTTCATTTTCGCATTATTAGAATTTGATCTAATATTCAGAACTCTGATCTTCCAAATAATTGTACGCAGCAGCTTACTACGGGTTTACTGCTTTTCCTTTTCACCGAAATACCATAATCATGGTTTTAGCAGATTTAGGACGAAAAATCAATGCTGCCTTAGCTCAAATCAATAAAGAACCTATAATCGATGAGAAAGTTTGTGTTTCAGTCCTCTGGTGCTTTTCTTTTGAGTTGTGCTAATTAGTCGGCTGTGAAAATAGGTGCTCGACGCGCTTCTTAAAGAAATATGTCACGCATTGTTAGAAGCTGATGTCAACGTAAGACTTGTAGGTAATTTAAGAAAAAATGTGAGAACTACGGTAAATATACAAGAGCTAGCAGCCGGAATTAATAAACGGAAAATCATACAAAAGGTAGTTTAAATGAAAAGGTGAAGACTTAATCTATTAGTAAATTTGAAAACATTGAAAATCTCGTTAAGAATATATTCTTTGGCTATAAAGACGGTCGTCGATGAATTATGTAAACTTGTTGATCCAGGTGTCGAGCCATACATTCCCAAACGTGGCAAACAGAATATAATTATGTTTGTTGGTTTGCAGGGTAGTGGTAAAACGACGACATGTACAAAGGTAAATTAATAGTTCTTGTATGATTTATTATTGTTGATTCACCTGTAAATTTAATGAAAATACGAAATATCTTTAGTTGGCATATTACTATCAACGTAAAGGATGGAAAACATGCCTTGTATGCGCCGATACTTTTCGCGCTGGTGCTTTCGATCAATTGAAGCAAAATGCTATCAAAGCTAATATACCATATTATGGAAGGTAAGCTATAATAAATCGAAAGTGAGTTGGAAAAACTGATCATAAATGATACGTTGCGTGAATATCATTTTTTATTAATTGTTTGTTATATATTATATGTTAAATCAGTTATACCGAAACAGATCCCGTCCAGATAGCACACGAAGGTGTGGAAAAATTCAAAAAGGAAGGATTCGAAATTATAATAGTGGATACTTCTGGAAGACATAAACAAGAAGCAGAGTTATTTGAAGAGATGAAACAAATATCCACTGTCGTTGTATGCATTCTTTTGATTTTTTTTTAATTGACATGAAATATGTACACGATTTTTATATAAAGGCACTATTCTTAGAATCCTCATAATACAATATTTGTGATGGATGGAACTATTGGTCAAGCTGCAGAAGCACAAGCAAAAGCATTTCATGAAACAGCAGATATCGGATCAATTATTATAACTAAAATGGATGGCCATGCTAAGGGTGGTGGGGCTATTTCTGCGTATGTAATATAAGTTATTTATTTATTTAGTCTTCATACTAGATCTTTATTATTAAATTTTCATATTTTTTACAGTGTGGCGGCTACGCATAGCCCAATAATTTTCATTGGTACTGGTGAACATATACATGATTTAGAGGGATTTGATGCCAGACGATTTGTATCTAGAATGCTTGGAATGGGTGATATTTCTGGCTTAATGGAAACTGTACAGGATTTAAAATTGGATCAAAATAAAAATTTGATGAAAAATCTTGAACAAGGTTTGCTTGCTTTTACTACGTCATCAATCTTTTTATCTGAATTCGACGGATTATGTATAGCCTTGTTGATATACAATAAAAGGAATTTTTACGATAAGGGATATGTATGAGCAATTCCAAAACATATCAAAGATGGGTCCACTCTCAAAGATGATGCAAATGGTGCCTGGTATGTCAGAACTTAATTTACAAGGATCCGATGAATTGGGGGCTCAACGAATAAAAAGGTTAATTTTTACTTTTATTGTCTTTAGTCACAAAAAAATTGCATTCGTTCTCTTGAAATATATTCGAATCAACTTTATTTCTTCTCTTATGTATTAGATTAATGACTATAATGGATAGTATGAACGAAACAGAACTTGATTCCGACGGGAAAATCTTTCAACAGCAGCCGGCTCGGATATTACGTGTCGCTAGAGGTTCAGGGACTTCGGTGCAGGAAGTTGAAGAATTGTTGGTCCAGCATAAATCTTTTCAGGGAATGGTTAAGAAGTTTGGTGGAAATAAGGGTATACTTAAAGGAATGGGTCCTGGTACGGATCCTTCGAAAATGTCGCCGCAAAAGATGCAAGCTAAAATGGCACAGATGCAAAAAGTAATTTTTTTATTTTCATCAATCTTTTATATATGGTGTTTAGTATAATATATGTGACTCATTACTCTAACTATTTTTGTAGATGTTGCCACGTGGTATGGCTGGAATGGATATGAATAGTCTAATGCGTCAAATGGTTTGTGTTAATCAATAATTTTTATTCATAGAATTTAATTCATTTTTGTTCACACTTTTATTACTAGATGGGTGGAGGTGGTGGTCCTGGTGCCCCAGCAATGCCTGATTTGAGTCAAATGCAGAATATGATGAAACAAATGGGACTTGGTGGTGGCTTTCCAGGTGGTGGTGGTAGACGATAACAAACATAAAACAAACACTAACATTCTCAAATGATAATATATACATAATATTTATCGTTATGGTATCTTGAAATTTTGTTCCTTTTTTTGAATATAAATTATATTTATTATTTTTAATATTATCAATAATCTGATGTCATTTTGTTGCCTACACCTAATCTCGATATAATATGGTGACAGTTATAATAAATCTTTTGCGTTACGCAAACTAACACTAATTCTTGAGTGGCAGCAGAAAAATATATCCGCTACCGGACACACCAACAAAATTAGCAAGAAATCATTTTGAAAAATGACATAACGATAATTGATGGAGGAATTGCAGTGGGAAAAACAACGTAAATAATGCGACTAGAGGAAATATGGGACTGACAGTAACAACAATCCTAAAACCAGTCAAAAAATGGGAAGCCGAGCTGGAAAACTTCTACAATGATAAGGATATAATTGCAACAGATATGAAAACATGTTATTATGTTCGGAGTATTTTGGTGAATCAAACAGTACATGATATTGTTATACCAGTTCTTTGATCTTTAATTTATATTGCAGAAGGTAATTTTAACGAAAGATCTTTGAATTATCACCAAGTTTGTTATCGTTATTAATTAGAAAATTTGCACGTAAATTATATTGATATATACAGTGGCAATCAAAAATAATGCAATTTATTAATTAAACATAGTAAAATGCGGGTTTTTCTCTTTATATGCAATTAGAACAAGCTTCATCAGATTAAATCTGAGAAATCTGAAAAAAATATATGTTAAAATATGTGATATTATCTTCATTTTAATATAAAAATAAAAAACATTGATTAGTAAAATTGAAAACTTTTATATAAAGAGAAAAACTTGTATTTTACTATGTTTAATTAATAAATTTTGACATATTACATTATTTTTTGTACACAAGTACATATAAACAAGAATTAACTGGAACTCTTACAAAATAAGAGTTTTACTGATTTGAATTATTAATAAATTCTTAATGTTAAAATTTAACATTAATTTTAATACTGGCCAAAATTAAGTGACCAAATTAAATATAATCATAATAAAGTCAATAAAATTTAATAACTATTTTTCCATTAAATTGTAAACAATTCAAATATAATATTATACTAAAAGTTGTAAAACTAGTATCTTACAATATATATATTTCTGTTAATGAAATTTTACATAAAAAATTTATATAATTTATATAATAATATTCTTTTAAAGAGAATAACTAAAATCTAAAGTTGTATTTTATAAAATAATATTCTTTTAAAGGGAATAACTAAAATTTAAAGTTATCAAATATTTGTATTTTATAAAATAAATAAACTTTCTTACTGAAAAATAAATACAAAATTTAATTTATAAATATGCTCAGAAAAGATTTATTCTTTTATTCTAGCCATAATAAAAAAAGTGATAAATTATATAATTTTAAGAAATAAATCAATTAAATTGCAAAATTAATATATAACGAAAAAATTCAAATCAAATAAAAATAAATATTTATTTTCAAAATTTTACTTATGAAATTATTTTTTATATTCTAACAAAAAAATATTTCTTGCTAAATTTTATTTTATACACTTATTATAATAATATAGCTTTAATTTTAATTATAATAATCAGTAATTATATCATATAATAATGAAAACAAATAAATTTTATATAATAATAATAATAATAATAATAATTATAATTATAATATAAAATTATAAAAAATCTATTTTCATTTTATTATAACTATATAATATTATAATTAAATAAATAATATTTTTATAATCTTAATATTTTATAATAATAAGTTTTATCTTTTAATTAATATATTTTTATAATATTTTGAAAACTCTTAAAAGAATCTTAATTTTATAAATAGATATATAAAATTTATATATATAAAATAATTAACTAAAATCTTGAATTAATTTTTTTATAATATTAAAAAATATGATATTGTTACTGTTTTAATGAGACTTTGAAATACTCAAGAATATTTATGATATTCAAAGAGGAAACTCAAATGTCTTAATGACAATTTACAGTCTTAATAATACTTTATGACTTTAGACTAAATATAAATTAATGTATGATAAGCACTTATAAAAATCACTTAAAGGTTGGTAACAGTTGTGTTCTTTTAACGCAATAACTAGACTGCTAAAGAGAGTTCTCAAAATCTCAATGTCAAATATAATATACATATTAAAAATGTCTTTAAATCTTTAAAGATCAAATATAAGATATAATATTTGTATTATCAGCAATACAAAATCGAAAATAAATATATAAACAATATATTATTAGCAATACAAAGTCAAAGGTAAGTGTATGAGCAATGTATTATTAGCAATATAATCTCAAAAACAGATTTATAAATTATAATAATAATTCCTTTATTTAATATAATATTCAATAGATTTCATCACAATGTGTTCAAAAAATCTAGAATAAAGATGATAACTTTTATAGTGCTCCTGACAATCTTGCTTAAGCTATTATAATATATATATTGATTCAAGATCTGTATAACTTCTTATAAAGCTATTATACAAGAAAATAAATACTTTATCAAAGGGTGCAGAAAGGAGTTTGCATTTGACTATTTACTCTATATAAAGTGCAAATTTTGTTTCTTTGAATGATCAAAACTATATAATAACTAATTAGACATGATAATTTAGAATTATTATCTAAAAGAACTTGTTTACATTAGAAAATTTTTATATCTGATTATAATCGATTATTATCCAATAATCGATTATTATCGATTGTTAATAATCGATTATAATCAATTGCAATTAGATATAATCAATGATTATTAAAATTGAATATAATCAATTTTTTGTTTAGAATCAGTGAATATCTATAATTAATGATCATTAATTTTAATTAATCGATTGTAATCGATTATAATTGTTGCAGATTGATAGACAATGGGTAATCGATTATAATCAATAATCGATTCTCATCGATAATTAATAATTGATGATAAATGATTATTTATTATAATTGATTACCCATTGTCTATCAATCTGCAGCGATTACAATCGATTGTAAATGATTATTCTGTTAATTAATTCATCTTCCACAAGCACATATACAATATTAAGAAGCTTTCAAAATTTAATTCTTGGTATCAATTCAATAGATATTTCAAGCAATATTTTATATTATAAATATTTTATTAATATAATTATAATTGAACAAATAAATAAAAAAATTATTGCACGAAAACATACATTTAGAAGGTCTGCTATTCTAATTTGATAGTCATTAAATTTATTTTGACTTTTTTTTATATTTCTGATAACAATATCTTGATTTTCTATTGTTCTTTTTTGTTCCTCAAATATTACTTTCATTTCTTTCATTTCTTCCATTATTTTTTTCACTCCTTTCATTTCTTTCATCAATAATTCATTCGATTTTTTGAACTGGTAACTGGAAATATCGTAACGCATATCTATTATGTTCGTAAGCAATAAATTACTCATTATTAGCGCTATCATTATTGTTAATACCTTCCTCATCATCGGCATTGTTATTATTCTGCTGAACAGTAATTAAACTTTTAAATATGCATCCACAATTAATAAAAGACTAATTCAGAGTATTAATAATGTTACCTTTTGTCTTCCTCCATTCCTGACAAATGTGTTTAATTCTCGGTGAACTTCCACATTCGTCTCATGAACTTCATCACGAATTGACTTCTATTGGATAAAAGCTATCATAGTTAGTTGCGAACTTTGTTGAAAGTTTGCGTTGAAAGTTTGTGATTGAACGCACTGCTTTTTTTTCTATAAGCCACAATTCCCAATCTGAATTGCACTATTAATGAAGAAAGTATATATTAGAGATACAATATGTTGAAGTAAAACATATTTGATTATATACATTAGCAGTTTCTTTGAGATTTCTTAGTTTCGACTGTTTTTTGGGGTCCTTACAAAAGTCGATGGCCTGATCAAGAGTCTTTCTGTACTTTTATAGTGCACGGGATTTATGTGTTGGTTGAATAAAACGAAAGAATTCTAAAGGAGTTGGGTTGTTACATGAAACCATCCAATCAACGTGACACTGCTTGAGTATTTTCGCGGATGAATTTTCATCTCAACACATGAAATATTAACAAAAAGAGAGATGAGTACACCTTGTTTAAACGAAGTAATTAGTGAAAAGGTGTGCTGTTGTTTACGCAACGGCCGGCCATCTCCTGGACGATGACTTGCCAAATATTGGCTTCCGGTAGATCACAGTCTACCGCAGACGCCTTGCGCCCAACAGACACCAAACAACTTTGTATCCCAAAATCAGCCGGCCACCTCCTGGACGATGACTTGCCAAATACTGGCTTCCGATAGATCACAGTCTACCGCAGACGCGTCATTCGTTTCATAACAAAGCTGCCGTAAATTATGGAAAAAAAAGAAAAAAAGGTATAAACCTACCTCACTCGAAGAGGATTAAAGAAAATGTAAAACGGTTAACAATTCTCCGGTTGTGGTGTTATTGCAGATTATATTTATCAGCGCAAAAATAAATGTGAGGCCAGAGTATATTTACTTGAAACTCGTGCAGGTATATTTCTATTTTGTTAAAATGTGATCACGTGAAGTTGTAATCTACAGATTTCCGAGAAATGTATTATCAGGTTTTCTCAAAACAGTCGAGATCAACTGATATATACTCATCAACGCTTTTTTCTCACACGTACATGTTTGAAAAAAAAAATAGATCTTGCCGTAGAAAATGATTCCGATTCACATAACAGATATGCTTCTGGAAACCAAAAACTATCATATTATCCGAAAGCGCATCCGATTTGTTAATTCATTATTTTCATATAGGTATAACAGATAACCATATCGAAACCGGATTATAGTAAATATTGAGAATGTGTTGGCATAGATAGTTTGGACAATTGAAAAACTTATAGTGAAGATAATAGTATAGAAACAATAGATAGATTCCTTTCGATTTTTATTACATTCCATAAAGCAAAGACCGCAATAATGTGATATTTCTACACCAATATTTTTTCATGTGACGTTTTATATATTAAGAATCGAAGATTCCACCAGACGACCCGTGCATTATTGATATGCCCATGTAACGGTTGATAAAAATCGTGATTATATTTAAATTATATGTGCGATGTTCAGTCGCGATTATTTTTTCGCTATGCAAATTTTTCGCATATGCCGTTAAAGTAATCCGCAATAATGCAGTCTGAAATTGAAATCGGGACCAAGATGTTACTATTACATAGCTCTGTTAATATAAATCATATTAATATAAATTTTTCGTGATGAATACCCACGACACGCGTGTCACGAGGGCGCAGTAATTCACTTCGCATCTTTATTCCCTCTCAAACATTTTACAATCACGAAACCTGTATCAACTTGACTTAAATTTGAAATGGAACGCAACGAAAACGATCTAATTAATGCTATTTTTTGATCTCGATCTAAATTTAAAAAGTAGACATAATGATAAATAACAAATGTCATAATGGAAGTTTGGCTACCAGTAGCAACTGATTCAGACTTACTAGTTTCAAATCTTGGGTGCATCAAGAACAAAAAAGGTATAATATTTAAGCTAAATGCCTGTAAAAGAAAAGGCTATATACGAATTAATCTTAAAGTTAATTGTGTTAAAAAGAGTATTGCAGTTCATATTTTAGTTGCTCAAGCTTTCATCCCTAATCCAGAAAATAAACCCTATGTTAATCACATCAATGGTATTAGGTATGATAATCGAGCTATTAATTTGGAATGGGTAACTCCTAAAGAGAATGCTGAACGTACAGTATTTCGAAATCCTAATCGTAGTAATTCTAAAAAAATTGTGCAAATGACCTTGGACGGAAATGTTGTTCAAGTTTGTGGATTCTATCACTCTCGCATCGAATACTCTTAATATAGTAATAAGTAATATTTCTCAATGTTGTAGCGGAAAGCTGAACACTTCTGGAGGATGGCGTTGGGTGTATTACGACGATCACATAGAAAAAGATCCCGATGAAGAATGGAGAGAAATAATGCTTAATTCACGAAAACTCAAAGTTCCATCCTTAGGGAGGGTTCAGTTACCCAACGGTTTAATCTCAAGAGGATCTCTAGATGCAGGATATCTTAGAGTTGCTTGAGAAAAATATCGTGTTCATCGCCTGGTCGCATTAGCATTTTGTCCCAAAGAAGACGGCAAAGAATATGTAAATCATATTGATGGAGTCACCACGAATAACAGAGCATCTAATCTCGAATGGTGTACAATGAAAGAAAACAATCAACATTACGTACATCTCGGGCTTGGGCACCAACGTGGTGTCAAGTAGATCTTCAATAATGGTTCTTCCCGAGAATTTCCATCCATAGCTGAAGCTCAACGTGTTACTGGAATTGATAAGTCAAATATTGGTAATGTTTGCAAAGGACGTCTAGCTTGTGCCGGAGGGTATCATTGGAAATACGAATTATTCAATTACACCATACAAAATATAATTATCAAATATAGATATATCTCCGAAGGATTGCTTTATTGGGACTTGAAAAAATCTTTTTATCGCATTCTACACAGTTAGGCAACTCGGTGAATTTCTTATTTTTGACTACATCATCGTTGAAGGTTTTTAGGATGCTATATGCGAGGTTTTTTAGATTAGGAGTTGAGACTTTTTCCGTTCTCGGCATAATGGCCACAACAGAGAAGTTCTTGAACTACGGACCTTTACATATGCTCTCATATAATTACTCATACGTCGTTTGAAAAAAAAATATCCCAACTCGAAATAGCTTTACGTCCGAAAGTTTATTATAGCAAAATCATTATGGAAAGTCGAGTTTCTCAGCGAAAAACATGAAAATTAACAAAAAATACCCAATGGGTGTATATGTTGTGCCCCAAATCACAATTGTCCCAAATCACAATCGGCCCAAATTATAATAAGAATATGACCAGAGTTAGGGTAAGGGTTAGGGTTAGGGTTAGTGCTGAGGGATAGGCTATATTTGGTTTAGATTTTAATTTGGGATATATCCCAATTGTCAATTGGGGCAGATTGTGATTTGGGGCACAACATATATGTGAGAAATTGCTGAAAGCATCACTAATTGGCTAGGGCACACGAAAAAATGTGAATCTAACCTGTAAAGCGCATCCAAACACATGCTCATTGATCTGCAATAAAAAATCGGATTATCGTGATCGCGGTTTATTATACGATCAATTTATGTATCAAGGCTATAAAAATTCTTTACGTAATAATATTCCTTGTTCTTATTTTTAGGTTTAGAATGGATAGAGCCGGGGTCTTTAGACTCATGTATCTTTTTTACTGAAACAACATTGGATAAAATATCAGAACAATTTGAATCCGATGTATCGCTATTATCACACTCAAATTCTGGTAATTCACACTTACATTTTACCTTTAGCTCAAACTCGACTGCTCTTAATCTCGAATAAATACGATTTATATGATATCCTATTTCATCGATCATAATGGGGGTATCTTTATGTAGTTTAGTATTAGTCGATCGCTTTTTGTTACTTTCCATTTTTGAATGATATAATGGGTGTGTAGATTTCACTAACGCCTCTCGATAATTACATATCATTTCAATATATTGAATATTTATTACTCATGAAAAAAAATCTTAATAATTGATCTAGTTTCACGAAGTCTGACTCACTTGGTGAAATAACTAGGTTTATCTGATTACTGGTATTGTGGTTTAAGCTTGAGCATCATTGCTCTTTTTTCAGCTTCTTCAGGAGATATTCCGGATGAAACCATACGCTTATATGCAAAAATTCTCCAATGCCCGTATGGGAGGGTTCGTATACCATCTAATAGAATCCAACGCTTATTATCATATGGATTTAGCCCAATTTTATTTACTCGTTCCAAATATATTTCGTGATCATAACTGCGGAGACCATACATATCATGTCGGGTTAGCTTCTTAGTCCTGAGACATTCTAAAAATTTATCATGCCGAAGCTCTCTCTTAACTACACATTTCTTAACACCTTTAGCCTTTTGCATTCCATGCTTTTTCTGCCAGTCTTTCATACCTTGAGATTTTCTAGATTCTTCTTCCTCTAACTCTTTTTCGAAATCTGCATTTGTTTCAGGAGTTTTTGGATCATGCCCAGCTGGAAGGACTGAATACATTTTCGGTTTCAAACATACTGACTCACCTATTGGCCCCCCATTTGTTTCATCCTTCATTAAGAATAAATCTCCTGAATAGTCGAGATCGAAAATATCTGGTCTTTCTGCTCGATCTTTATAAATGTCCTCTGTCTCGATCCACATAATAAGAGAATCTGTATCTGTATAAAGTAAACGGGCCTTGTCTCCATAGCGAGGTTTTATATAACCATACCAGAAATTATACACCATAGCTTTGCTAATATCAAGAATCGCTTGCCCTACAAATAATGGTTTATTAAGAGTTACTGTACCTTTTAACATGTGAACTGCTGTAATTCCCCCTTCATATCCTTTAAAACCTACATATAATGAGATCTAACGAGACGAGTTAGTTTTTTATCTTGATCAGATCTAAGTAATTCTACTCTCATATGTTTACGAACATTTTCCATCTGTTTCCCGAATACTGCATTATTCTTAAGTTTATAATACACGACCCCAAACTCCTCTTTGTTAGCTTTGGCATTTTTTCTTTTACGAATATTTTCCTCGATATAGTCTTTCATCCATGGAGATTGACGAAACTTTAAAGCACTGTGAATTTTTGTAACTTTCGTTCCGAATTTTATATATATCTGTAGGGCTCTATAATGAACTACATAATTTTTCTTGGGTAAGAGGGTTTGTAATAGCTTTTCTCCTGTTACATATTTTCCACCCCCAACTGCTTTGTCATGTACTAATCTTTCATTATATAAACTAAGCCAGTTTTCTGGTACGATTTGCTTTTCCGGTGCTAAAGGATAATCTGCAAAGAAATCGTGCAAGTTTATTGGGGCCTCTATATCAACTTCGAGCATGTATCCTATTTCCATCAGGTGCTATACTTTGTATATCGGGTATTTCTTCTGGATCTACCTTTCCTAAAATCTCTGTAGGCATGTATTGTGTCATTGCGCCTGAATATAAAGCATTCATATCTTCATACATGATCCAGGATTTTGGTTTGTTGGGATCATAATCGGGACATTTTTCATTATTAGCTTTGGCACATCGCTGGCTTATCATTGTCATCCCTCCACGAATTCCATTCTCAACCATTAAATATTCATCCATATCTGTCATAAGCTTGATTTCAACTCCACTACTTTTGTATAGCGAATCATTAAACATTCCTGGTGCAGAAACATAATGAGTAGTGTCTAAACCGTCATCTTGTAAACACATAATACTATAGTTCATAAAAACGTCTGCAAGTAAAAGTACATCTGTTTCAAGATATAAATCGTGATATTCTCCAAAATTTTTCATTTCGAATGTTTGCCAAACCTTTTGCGCATGCTCATAATCAGATTTGCTAATATTTTGTTGATAGAGAATAGAAATCCTTTCTGCGTGGAAGATTTGTTCGTTCAAATTTTTCCCATGAATTTATCCAGTCATATGGGAAAACACCTTTTCGGATTAAAAGTTTTATCTGCTCTAATGAGTATCCCTTTTTAGTAAAATGCTTTACTGTTAGAGGAAATTTTTCTAGCGTTTCTTCTAAACATGTAACCAGCTTATCAAGACCCATTGCCATATGTTGAAAACTATCTAGAAAACGAAATTGTCCAACATCCATAGCTTTATATTTACCTATATTTTCTGGGATACATTTAAGCTTATCAGAAGCAAATCTGCTAACTACTTCTATAAGCAAATGAGAGTCATAACCTCGAAAATTATGACAAATAAGTGGTATCTTTGTTTTGAATTCGCCCATTTGTAATTTTTTATTGCAATCACTATGAGCTGGACCTCTATATTTACCATTAATATGGTCATGATCTCGAACTTTTAATAATCCTTGATCTAACATTTGACTATCACAATACATACAGTTGTAAGTTTTTTTGAATTTTCCATTATCTGGAATACTTGGTTGTTGGTACCATTTCGGACCAATTATTTCGTTTTTTCGTTTACATCCCTCATGTGATGCTCCGATATAATTTCCAGTATTAGGACAACAAACCATTGCCTTAAGTAGAGTTTGATTCGGAAATTTTTTCTTGCAAATCCAGCATTCAGTTGCTGTTTGATGTCTTCTATAATCACCTGTTTCCATAATCATATCAGCAGGTTCAGATAAATTTGCTCGGATTTCTTCTAGCTCTTCTTCAAGTTTGTCAACGAATCTTTGCAATGCATCTGGCCCTCTATATAAATCATGACTTATAATCTCATAATTGTATGAACTATCCATACGAATAATTACGTAACTATATCCACATGGAATATGTCTTTGAAGTTTTTCGGTTCGAGTCAATTGTGTTTTCTCTTCTGGAGTTAGTGCTGTAGTTAAGCATTCAAGATCTCAAATTATTCGATATGGATTTGGTTGCATGCATTTGTGATTACAAAATTCCTTGGTACTTTTTTCCAATGTAGGAACTTTTGGTAATTGAGGAGCGTTATTTATTCCTAAACATTTTTTGGGAATTGCCCTATGTTCAATAAATCCTTTTTCTGTAGAATATACACGAAGGCAGAAACGGCATAGATATTTTCTTTCTTTGTGTTTACTATGATTGTAAACTAGTCTATGAGATCCTTGATTATACAATAATGTGTTCGAGGATTTTCTAAGTCATCGGCTTCTGAAATAACTAAAAGATTTATCTGCTTAAATTCTGCACTTCTTCTTTCAGAAAGATACCGGAATTCGAGACACTTATTTTGATTAGACCATTCATATACACAAAGACTGATCTCGGGGTTATTTTCTTCGAATTTTTGGTAAACTGGTGTAGAGACTGGTACTGGAATTGGAATGTCTTCCATATTAAGCTCCTCTATATATTTAGCATATATTCGATGAGGATTTCTTTCTGGATGTACTTTAACGGGATGCAATGCTCCTAAAACACACCATCCAAAACACCAGTCATCATTGTTTTGCATATTGATAACACCATTATTTCGTTTTGGCATTGTTTCTGGTCCAATTGGATTATAATCAGCTACCTCAATACTAAATTCTTCGATATGTTCTGGATATGCATCTGACATTTTATATAGTATACTAAGTCTAACTTTTGCGTTATATTTTACTTATACAAAATCTTTTCTTTAAATAATTAATTCATATCATATATTCAAAAATGATTGGTGAGTATTCGTGTCCATATATTCATAACTCTGGTATTGTTTGCTCTAAATCTTGTATTCGGCCAGAGGGGTGCCGGTTTCATTGGAAGGCTAAAAAACGTGTCCCTTGTAGTGATTGTGGGAAGCCTACCGGATCAATTTCTGGTCTTTGCTCTTTACATATCAGAGGGTTTTATGTTGCTCAATACTATCAAAGATTACGTGTTAAGGCCTTTGAAAATACTAAATAATATATATCGGGTGTGTTAAATACCTAAGACAGTTTCATTAGACTTATTATATTGTCAGTTTTGGTAAATTTTTGTATATCGGGAACTTAATCTAGAGCGCTAAATACCAAGGACAATTTTGATATCAAGAGGTTAGACTTAAGGTTATATTTTTTGTATATCAGGAACTTGATCTAGAGCGTTAAATACCAAGGACAATTTTTTTTGGAAAATGCTCTAAAGCTTTATTTTGCTATACAATTTCGGTTAGACATTTGTAATATATAAAATTTTTTCGTTAGATTTAACTTGTATATGAAAAATACGTTTTATAAAGATTTAATATGTATCTAGCACTATAATTTTTTCTGTCCTAATTCTCCCATCGATATATTAAATTTTCAGTTAGACTTTGGTTAGATTTAATGAAATGATATGCATTTTAGCTTGCTAGCACGGCTGAGAAGGGATCAGGATATTCATTACATTCATATCCTTCACCATTTCTCATTGTTTTTTAACAGCAAGTAGAGTAGCATAAAATAAATCTAACAAAAATATATCGAAAATGTGGTCTAAAATATAAATCACACGTCATTCGAGTGTGGCCAAAAACAAAAATCTCACGTCATAGTTAGACTTGTCTGGTTATAGTTAGATTTTGATAGCGAATTTGAGCTTCCAGCAGGGGCAAACACACTATTGCATATATTGTGGTTTTTGTCCCAAAACCCCCAAAAATGCAATGTGTAAAAATTATTTTTTTTAAAACCTGTAAACTGATTATTTATATTTAAAATACAACAAAATTTTTTATTATCATAGAATTTAACATTACAAACAAATTTAATTATCATAGAAGATTATTATATTAATAAAAAATTAACTTTACATAATAAAATACTCAAAAAATTATTATTAATAATTAATAAGTATTCTCATA